TTCAAATAACACCACTATTTATAAGTAACATTTCACCACCATTTATAAAAAACATCACAGAGTCTAAAAGTAACATCACCATTTGTAAAAAGGCAACATCACCACTTAAATAATAAAGGTTGTTGATAGCTAAATTAATAGAATAAACCATCTTCACCCTCAAAATGAAATATGCACATAATGCAAACTAAGTAATGTCACATATAAACATAATTCAATTCAACATATCATTTATGTTATTATTTGGAATTAAAAGTGGTGATGTTTCCATTTACAAATGGTGATGTTACTTTTTAGACTCTGTGATGTTTCTTATAAATAGCAGTGAAATATTACTTATAAATAGTGGTGTTATTTGAAATTAAAAGTGGTGATGTTTCCTTTTACAAATGGTGATTTTACTTTTTAGACTCTGTGATGTTACTTATAAATGGCGGTGAAATGTTACTTATAAATAGTGGTGCTATTTGAAATTAAAAGTGGTAATGTTTCTTTTTACAAATGGTGATGTTACTTTTTAGACTCTGTGATATTACTTATAAATGGTGGTGAAATGTTACTTATAAATAGTGGTATAATTGCCAAACGTGGACTTAGTGTTTGTTTTATGAAGAATTATGTGGCCAAACCAAGGCCACAAGATGGTAGACAGTAGAAGACTGCAGGAATAATTACAGCTGGTGATTCGCGCCCAGGAGGGGTAAGGTGTTCGCGCTTCGGTTGAAAAATTATATCGTGCCGATCCCAATCATTATTAAATTAAAAAAATTAATTTCATTACCACATGTAACATTATGGACTACTAATAAGGACATGTGGGCAGTAATATGGACTATAGGGCAAATAGGATCTTAATCTTAAAGGTTAATTGCACACATTTTTATGAGGTTTTGATCAATTCCATTCAGATGCAAGTCAACTTTTTTTTACAGTGACATCCCTTAGAGTTTCAAAATCTTGCATTTACACCTTTTTCGGCCTATAAAAAGACCTAAATGCCCTTTGACTAGTCAACAATTACTTTTGATCATAAAATGACCCGAATGCTTTTTTCGAACTAATTTTAATCAACAAAATTGACCCATTATTTACCACTTCATGCCATCATCTATCATCAATATCAAGCTTGCCCTTGCCTTCCGCCGCCACAAGTACTTTAAGTCCCACTGGCGTGTTTTCTTCTGCTACCTCATGGACTCCGAATGTTGAAAGTTAGTAATTGCTCTACCAGTGCCGGTTGTTGACACAAAGGATTTCATCAAAGGACAATCTAATAATTTTGATAATTACTAACCATTAATGGTGTTTATGGACTAATCTTTACATTGAGTGTTATAGATGATTCATATTCCAAGAATAATCTCAATAAAGCAATAAAGTTCATTCCAAGTATTCCAAGACCACATCAATGGAAAGCAATGGATACAAAGAAAACGTGAAGTTGCAAAGAGCTAAATGCAAGTACATCCAAAGATAGCTTGAACAAGCAAACAAGCAACTCAAAGAAAGCAAGAATACCTCAAAGCCTAAACGATCATGGACAAAGCTTGAAGAAAAAGGGTAGATAGCTTGGTAAGTGTTTAGAATTTAATGTCAAAGTATTTATGAATCCATTTGAAGCTCATCTCTATAGGATCATGCATATCATATCATTATTCATATGTTCCTATATCCATTAACAATAAACTATGAACTTTATTCACATATATAATTGACATATAGAGTATTTGTTAAAGAATGAGTTAGTTCAAGCTTGCATAAGTTTTGAAAAAACTCAACACTTGAGGTAGAAATGCTAAAACTATGCACATCAATCATATGATTTATTTTGATCTCTAGAAAGAAGAGTTTAAGGCATTGAACTTATTTTTTCATTCACAAAGCCTTTATTACCGTGACATGGTAAAAGACTTTACGACCCGCGCATCTCTCCTGAAAAACTGTTTTTTGTTTTTTTGGCTAAGTATGAAAAAAAGTGAAATTTTGAAATAAAGATATTTTCAAAATAATTTTTTCCGGTATTTACTCATTATATATTAATTAGCCAAATATGATTTTATTACCAATTTTACATTGGTTTACATGAAGAATCATTTTTCACCAAAACTGTCGGGAACCCTACTTTGTACTAAAAATGAATTTTTATATTTTGATTTAGTTGGATTTTAATTTTCTTGCATTTTTTATTGAATCCAAATGGAGGGTACATCTTTATTTACATTGTAAACTTAAAGTAAATGGATAAATAAAATTTTTAAAGACATTTACTATATTCCTCAAAGAGGCTATAAATACACAATGTTTCGACATTATGGGCAGCTATTAGAAAGAAACAGAGAAACTTTCTTAAGCATCAAAGAGCTTTTGTTCTTCATCTTCTCATTATCTCATACATATCATTCATAGAGTATTGAACTTCATTTGTATTCATTTATTCTCTAGTTGTAAGCTTTGATTTGCATATCAATCTTTAAGAAATGTATTCTTGTGCAACAAATTTCTATCTACAATAAATTGTAAGGGTTGGTGTGATCCAGTGAAGTCTAAAAGAGGAATTTTTCTCTTAGCAAAAAGAAGCGGTGTGCTTTTTGTACCAGTTTGCTCTCCACCTGTAAGGAGAAGCCATTGTGGGTTAGGAAGTCTTAAAAGGGGTCTTAAGCTGGAGAGTAGGACTTTTCGAACCTCGCAAAAATTGTCATGTTATTGTTTGCAATCTTTCTTTCCTTATTTTTTTTACAATTGTACTATTAATTGCTTATATCTATATCTTGATTATTGCATAATTATTATAAGGTGTTTATTAGAATTTGCAAAACTATTAAAATCGAAAATTGATCATTGTTTGTCATAGACTCTATTCACCGCCCTTAATAGAGTCAATACTTGGGTAACACCGATGACTGATGTCGTTGCATAGGACATCTCCCCTTCGTCACCTAATTTATTGTGACAAAAGATAATATAGAGAGCAGAGTGTGTGTGTGTGTGTGTGTGTGTGTGTGTGTGTGTGTGTGTGTGTGTGTGTGTGTGTGTGAATTAAGGAATTGAGACATACTGGAATTTTATATATGTGTGTGTATGTGTGTGTGTGTGTGTGTGTGTAACCCGAGTCCAGCCCAAAATTTTATGGGCTTGGGCAATGTTTTTCTAATTTCGGTTTAGGTCTGGGCTATATATTTTCAGCCTGAATTCAATTCGGGCTGGGCTTGGGTTGATATGGAATAAACCCGAAGCCCAATCCGAGCCCAAAAATATTATATATATTTATAATTATACTTAAGTCATAAGAGTGTAGTAGCCAAGTTGGTAGTCTACTTGGGATTTATGCTTAAAGTTTTAGGTTCAAGTCATGGGTGTAGCATTACTTGATTTATTTTTTACACACAAATTCTTCTTAGATGGGATTAGTGCGGGCTCGGGCTGGAAAAATTATGTATGGGCTGGACTTGGGCAACTTGGCTCGTGCTTAAGGCGAGTTGGGCTTGGGCTGAAGATTTTATATATGGGCCTAGCTCGAAATAAGTGCCAAGCCCGCCCAACCCGCCCGAGTTGCAGCCCTAGTGTGAATTGGGTTCGATTTAGGGTTCCTCGTTGTGGGGGTGGCAACGGACTTGATTTTGGCCTCCGTAAGGTGGCAAAGCAGTAAATACTTAATAATTCAATGGATAAATATACACTGATCATGAATTAATGATCACCATAATAGATATAATATAAAAATTGTTATGAATATATAAATAAAGAAATATATAATGAGACCTACTAAAAAAAAAAAAAGGTTTATTACTTGGAAAGAATACCCTTACAATACATATATATTGATGAAGAGTAATGATAGTTACACCGAAGTCATGCACCGAACGAGATTTTTTACTAATATGCTTATTCACGCTTACTGTTCTCTATCCATAATTTTAGAAACCTCTCTGCCGTCCCTAATTTAGAAACCTCTCTGTCGTCCTCAAATTTTCAGACGAAGTTTCTCTTTCGATTCGATGCGATCTGCAACAACTCTAAATGTTTTGACTATTTATAACAAGCGTTTGACGATTTGCAACTTTTGACGATTTGTAGAATGTGTATATATATATATATCAATCTCCCTATATATGTATATGTTGCTACAAATTTTAGATGGAATTGTTTGATCACTATTAGTCGTTTGAATCAATTTATATTCAATGAATTGACATTGGTGTTGAACTCTTAAAAAAAAAAATTTGGAGCAACATATACATATACAGGGAAATTGATATATATATACGTTTACTGTTCACTCCAAATATTTTGGTTTTTTGATGATTTGGAGCTATTGAGTACCGACTCCTCAAAATTTGATAAATAGCTTAGTATATGTCAAACTGGTTACCAGAGGTACTCAATAGCTCCAAATTGTCAAAAAACCAAAATATTTGGAGTTGTTGCAGATCGTGTTGAATCGGAGGGAAAAAAACAAAAAAAAACAAAAAAACAAAAAAAACAAACACGGACAGCAGAGAGGTTTCTAAAATTAGGGATAATGAACCGTAGACGTGAATAAGCCGTTATCTGTCACCTAGACTGTCACGTCATTATGCTCAACAATTCAATACATGACTTCGATGTAAGTATCATTACTCATAGATGGATTGCACTGCCTCTGCTAACTTGCACTTGATTTCGGCGCCCACCATCTTTGCATCATCAGACCAATCTTTTCAGTTTTGCATCATCAGACCAACCGTATATCACCACATCATTGTACCAATCAAATGCCTCCAACTAGTCACACCAACAAAATACTACCATGTACTGATTATGAGTGGACCCATTTTTATAACAAAAATTATAATTTATAAAATTAGATTAAATTATTAAAATGAGGCAGAGTGCAACCCAAACTACTTAAAATTAAATATAAAAATAATTATTCTAAGTCCATGAAAAATCGAATTAAATTCGAATTGGGCGTGCGTTGGTTTGCTCAAATTGCAGCCTCCCATTGAGTTATAAACCCCCAGCCCTAACTCGACTGCACGTGCCAAGAAAATAGAGACAAAGCGCGCCGTTTGATAGCGAAGCTTCTGGGAACTGCGATTCTCTAATCTTCTCTCTTCGTTAAACCAATTTTTTAGAAAATGAAAATTGAAGTTTTTAGTTGTCACTATTTTCTTTCTTGTTAAGTAAATTGTTCTTCGAACCAGAGGACTTTCAAGAGAGAGATCTCAGAGTCAGTTTTTTCTGGAACCGAGCTTCTCGTCTTCAATGTCTTCACCTGCAGAGTAATTTCCCCCTTCTTTGTTTATCTTCTACATAATATTCATGCATATGTATAATTATATGTGTGTGTGTGTGTATTCACACACAAAGACATGTCTATGTATCTGTATATATAATTTATATTGTTTAGAATTGATCACGCTCGAATTACTTCATTTCCAGATGTAGTTTTTGCAAATTTGCAATTCATTTATTTGATTTGTGCTTCGTGATCTCCTTCCATTAATGATTGGTTGGTTGGTAAATGAACTGTTTGGCTCTTGATGTAGACCTAAAATTAACATGTATGTGAGCAAGTGAAAATTCAATTTTGAAAGATGTGAACGTTGCCTTAGTAATGTCAAATTAGTGTAGTTCTGATAGAGATTCAAATGTTTTTGACTGCGAGATGTCTGTACCCATATTCTTGATTATGTTAACTTTGATATTGCTAAGTCAATTAATGAAACTGCAGAAATAAAACGAATTAAGGAGGGGAGTTGAATGAAATCAAGGGAGGATATGAGAAGGTTAAAGGGGTTTTAATATTTCTAAAGACTTGAGGGTGAGAGCCCGTGTAGACCAGAGTCTTGGTCTCTCCTTGTTAACTATTGGATTGAGAATTGTAGTAAAAGATTCATTTGACTCTTGGCAAAATTCGAAAACTGTCAGTGGGGTTAATAAAGAGAGTTAATGGCAGCTCTCTTGATTAGTTTTACTCTTTGCAAAAAAGTAGCAAAGCAAGAGACGTAACAAATGCAGTGACCTGTGTCTTGCAATAAACAAAGTGATCGGGTGATTTATAAATACATATACATGTATTACTCTTATGGTCTTACCTAGACTTCATGGAAAGACACAGCATCCTTTAAGGAATGTAAATCTATACATTAGGGAAAAAGTTTAAGATATGTACATTCAAAGATGCAGTAGGACAAGCAGTGGGAATAGGCATCCAAAATTGTGGTGGTGGAACATGAAGGTATGGTTTGTACGAGGAAACATAAATATAATGCAAATTGCAAAATTAGATATTTGGTTACATAAAAAATGAATGTCAACTGACTAACTGAGGAAACTGGAAAATCCAATGAGTATAGAAGTCTTTGCATTTAGAATTTATTTTTAAGCTAGACGTGCTACTTCACAAATACCCGTGACAACCTTTTTATTGTTTAACCGTAGAGGCTCAATGTTGGTTTTCTTTATTTTCATTTATTTATATCATAGACCATATTATTCTCTTTAATGAGACATATGTTACTGTTTATTTGACTTCTGTTCATCAAGCTTACCTTTATTGTGCTTTTTTCTTTCAGGTTCTATCATTCACTTCCACCTATTAGCAAAGCTTATGGGACCCTCTGTTTGTTGTTCACGACAGCATTTCAATTTGGGCTATATCATCCTGCAGATATTGCATTGATATACCAACTAGTGTTCACACGTTTTCAGGTATGGATTCCATTACCATTGGTTATTAAATTTGTAGTTGGTATTTGCCATCAACACTTTTGCGTTATCATACTCATTTTAAACCTGATTTTGGCTACCATAAGTCCATAATATAAGTTCTGATTTTTATAATTTATTATTATTTTCAATTTTTTTTTTTTTTTTTTTTTGATAAGGTTATTATTATTTTCAATTTAAAGAACTCCTTTTATAAGTTAACATGAGAATGACCTCATTCTGTGTCTTCCTCATTTCATATCGTCTCCTATCCCACGTCAGACTTGATAACGTTATCTTTTGTTATGGTAGACTTGTGCAAGGTAGGGTGTATGGTGCGGGAGGCATGTAGTGATGCCATTACCTTTGCCATTAAAAAATTGATCCTACCCTTTTACTTGAGGGAGGGGCTGGTAGCCTACTACTGTTCAAGTCAGCCCTGACAATCCCGTCATTGCTTCGTGCAATTTATAGATTTTCGGGATGAGAAAGGGATTGAATGGATAGGGTTTTTCTACCAAAGGATGATTGTGCTTAAACTAAACCTCGAATGTCTTATTACTACGTAAATAACCTTTAATTTGTTAGTGGCCATAATGAGATGCATCTATGATACATGCTAATCCATTTGAATAGTTGTGCAGTTTTCATACTCCTTTCCTGTGCTGATTCAAACATCATTTTTTGGTTCTTTTATGATGGCTAGTGACTAAAATAAACAGGCACATAAAGTAGCATGTGATGCTTGATAATCCTTCTGATTACTATGACCAATATCTAGCTTGTGTGAGCCATTCAAGAAACTTCCTCGATTGTGTTCTTGAGTGTCATGGAGAAATCTGGGAACACAAATGTCTAGTTTTCCTTGTTTAAACAATTTTGTCTCTTGGTCAAAAATTACTCGGAGGATAAGGATAACACCTTATTTGATTTGATCTGGACATTGCAATTTCGTTTCATCTAGAATCCTATTATATTGAAACTAGGGAAATGAGAAGATGGAGCAGAAACACTTGGTTAAATTTTAAGCTTTTTAAAGATAAATGATTGATGGTTGAAATTTTTATTCATTCCATTCCCATTCCTGTCAAATAGTCTACTAACCCCATGTTTCACACCAAGGGCAACTTGGTAATTTTGATGATAAGAACCTATTAATGGGGGAATTTGATAATCTACTTGAGTGTGGTGAATTTCAAGATATTCAATATAAACTCACTTATATAAAAAAAAGATATTCAATATAAACTCAAGTTTAAGTAGATCCATGGAAAATGCTCAAGCTCATTTTGTATCACAGCTAATGGCAATGGAATTCAACATTGAAGATCAAGTTCAACACCATGGGGTTATTGGGTTGGTGAGAGCTGGAATCCTTGTAAAGTAATTTATGTTGCATTTGATTCGAAAGCTCAACCTTAGGGAATTTTAAATGAATTAAGGACCTACGTTGAAATTTAAATTAAATATTTCTAAGGTCTTTAGGAATTAGGATAAATGAATGACTCAGCCCAAGAACTATATGATTTTTATGTAAAGGGCAAAGAGTCATTTGGTCTGTTGGTGTTACTTTAGCACCTAAAATTTTCAAATTTGAATTTTTGAAATGACTAAATGTCTAGACGTTTTCTAGTAGACGTCTACACCTTGATGGCATGGCCAAGACACTGCAAGTGCCAAGCTTCAGGTATTGGCCCACTAGATGTCTACATGTTTTCCTATTGACAACTAACAATGCAACAAGATAGCCAATGAAAATTAGAGATTCAGTAATAATGCATTGATGAGTGCAAGAACAAGAAATTTTAAAAGGAGGAGGAGAAAAAAAAATGAGAGTTTTGATTGAAGGGTATGGAAATTGTTTGAATTTGGGTCTATGCTAGCTTCGCAGTGAAGTCAACCCCCACTAGATGTCTACATGTTTTCCTATTGACGTCTACTCCTTATTTAGTTGGCTTGAGACTGCAAGTGCAGAAGTATAGGAAAATAGCCAACTAGACGTCTACATGGTTCCCACTAGACTGTCTACACCTTTATGTCCTGCAAGTAGCAAGTGCAGAATTCTCAGTGCTTCAAGGAATAGACATCTGTGTACATGTAGCTAGATGTCTACACCAAAAAGTGAATATGCAAGTAGACATCTACATGAGATAGACTAGACGTCTAAATGGATGCTGAACAGGCAAGCGCTAAAAGTGATGCAAGAAGACTAGATGTCTACACGAAAGGCACTGAACGTCTACATGACTCGCATTTTTCTAAAGCATGTTTCCAAAAAGAGTCTTTAAGTACTATAACGGAGATATTTTCCTATGAGGCTATATATAGGAGGTCCTTTCTCATTTGAGTAACTTTTGGGTTCCTTGTACGTATCATTTGAATATTTTCAAAAAGCTTTACTTATTTGGGCAAATCTCTTGCTAAATCTTAGATCTCTTACATCTTCTTGAAAATTTTAGAGATCATTGATATCAGTCTTTGAAGCTAGAGAAATAGATCTCTGTTTGTATATCTATCCTTCGAGGATTATTGTAGGGAGCTTTGAGTTGTAAAATTAGTCCATTGAGGGACATCCATTGCTGTATTGTAATTCTTATCTATCTTCAGAGAGATTGTAAAAAGTTAGTGTAACCCTTGTAGTCTAGGTGAGGTTTCTCACTTAGCAAAGAAAGGCAAGCACGTGGAGCTTTGTAAGGGTTGCTTTCCACCTGTGAAGGGAAGGTGCTCTTCACCCGTGAAGGAGAATAAGATAGTGGATTTGGGAATCCTCAAGAGGAGCTCTTGAGGCGTGGACATAGGCAGGGGAGCCGAACCATGTTACTATTTGGTGTTCTTGAGTTTACATTTCTCTAACTCTTATCTCTTTATCTTTGAGTTTTGTATTCTCTATTGCTTTTGTAATTGCTATATTCATTTGCATACTAAGTTTTTGAGAAAATTCAAAAACCTACCATAGCTCAGTCTTTCTTTATTCTTATTTGTTCGTTCCTTCCTTTTGTTATTTATTTATTTTCCCTGTCTGCATGCCTTTAGAATTTCATTTGATGATTTTGTTACATAGTAAGCGCCGTTTGTTTCCTCTCTCATATTTGTCCTGATGGTAAGAATTTCTATCGACTCTAATGGTGCCTCAGAGGTTTGGTCTGGAGTATAATCCTCGAAACTTATTGTATTGCTTGACATAAATTTCTATTTTTTTTCTTTTTCCTGAATATGTGTATTTTATTCAATAAAACAATATAGAGATGAAGTACATAGGAGAAAAGATCCAAACCAGGATCCAAAAACTGAAAAAGGAAAAAACAAATCCAGGGCATACCCCAAATTTGTCAACAAAGAGAAACTAAGTCCAAAAAACTGGTTGTGGCACTAACACTAAAGAGGACAAAGATGAAAACCAGAGGGGAAAAAAAAATATCAATGAAGATCAGAAAATAGCTTGAAGATCAGAATTAGCCAGCCCCGTAGCAGTTAAACCTTTAAAGCAAGCCTCCATAGCCAGTCGATGAGGGGAATGCACAGTGCCACCATGAACTCTCCTATTTCTCTCATTCCATAGACACCATTATATAGCAGTGAACCTACACTTCACTAATCTTGATTTCACAGATTGGCCTTGATTCTGGTTTTGAAACCAAACCAGAACTTCAGAGAAGCGAATGCATGTGTCAATCCCTCCCAATGACATAATTGAATAAATTTCTTTTTATTTGATATTGTAACTTTCTTGCTACATTCCATTTGTTTTTAGGTATGGAGGCTGTTCACAAATTTCTTTTTCCTTGGCAAATTCTCTATCAATTTTGGGATTCGCCTCTTAATGATGTAAGTATTTGATAAACTTCTGATCATTCCCATCAAATGTCCATCTAAACTTTCTGACACTTTATGCTTTTTCATTTTGAAAACTATGGGATAGTTGTGAACTGCTACAAGGAAATTAATTTTTTACCGTGCTAACATCTTTTGCTATTGCTTCTTATTATAGTGCAAGATATGGAGTACAACTGGAGAATGGACCATTTCAACAGCGTACGGCAGATTTCTTGTGGATGATGATATTTGGAGCCCTGACATTATTGGTGTGTGAGTTTTTCCTTATTCAGGGTTATAATCTGTTAGTCCTAAGTTGTCCTTTTCTTAAAGAGATTCAGTGCAGACCCATTTCTATGGGGTAGTGTTTTGCTGACTGAAGCTTGTATGATTTTGAGACTTCCCAAAAGTATTTTGATAGAAACTTTAAAAAGTATCTTGCTGTTGCCTTGTGTTTTTTCCCAAATTTTGAACTTTCCTGTGCTGTAATCCTTTACCAATAAGCTTATTTTGAGCTTGGTCTTACTTTCCTGTACAGTAGTCTACTTCTCATACACCCGTTAAGACGGTTGGATGATCAAATGGTCATGTTAATCAATATCTCGTATTTCACCTTTTATATTCACCTGCATGTTGACTGTTGGATTATCAAATGCTCAAGTTAACATCAATATCTTATGTTTTCACCTTTGTATCTTCGCCTGCATGTGTAGGTATTATCTGCCATCCCCTTGTTTTGGTCCCCCTTCTTGGGGGTATCACTGGTTTTCATGCTTCTCTATGTCTGGAGTAGAGAATTCCCAAATGCTAATATCAACATATATGGCCTTGTGACCCTTAAGGTATGCTGGCTTTAGCTACTTGTTTTGACAAAATAAGAAACTATATAAATTTGGTTTCTGAATCTTTGTATATGCTTTCTGGCTTTCTCTTTCCCAGTTCTTGATTAATGCCACTTCGTATCTCCTAATGCAGGCGTTTTATTTACCTTGGGCTATGCTTGCTTTGGATGTTATTTTTGGTTCACCTCTTCTGCCAGATCTTTTGGGAATTGTCGCAGGACATCTATATTATTTCTTGACCGTGTTGCATCCGCTTGCTGGTGGGAAGTACATATTGAAGACTCCAATTTGGGTGTATCCTTTTCCTTGGTTCCTCAGTATGAAAGCATACATAGTTGTTTAGAATGTGTTTTCTTGCTGTGCTTGATGGGAATATTCCACAACCCCCCCTTCCCCCCCCCCCCCCCCCCCCCCCCCTCCCTCTCCCTCACAAGCACGCGCGCGCGCATCTCAATCTGCTATCTGCTCACCTTTTGTGGCACTGGAAGATCATAACGTCTTAAATACTCACCCTTTTCTTTTGCACTGGGAGATCACAAATGTTGTGTTTAAGGTTTGAAACCTGATTAGGTCACTGATTGTAACTGTGTCCAATTTAAAGGTCAGTATTAGTGATCTTACACCAATTGCAGTCCTTGTTTTCAGTTACAAACATGTGTTTGTGTTTGCACACTTTTTTTACCTTTTCAGTATTCTCCCTGCACATATTGCTTTAGAAGTTGGGGTTTTGTGGGGGGATGGTTTCAGTACTCTCTCTGCACATAATGCTTCCATTTGTCCTTTAAAATTATTATTTTTAAAGTACAATTTTCCTGTTACTGAATGATTCACTGGCTGGAAGCTAACAATTTTCTGCGTATTTTCTTAACTGATACTGCATAGACATAAACTAGTTGCGAGATGGGGAATTGGAGCTCCAACAAATAATCGTGCTCAACCTGAAGGGCCTGGAGGCGTGGCTTTCCGTGGAAGATCACATCGACTAAGCAGGTGATACTGCAGTTGTCACACTTTTACATAATGGGACATTCATTAGTATTTCAAGCTTCTCATCATATTTTCTAGAAAGGCCACTAACAGTAGTGGAAGTGTTTGACGACGGTGCAGTAGATGGATCTCACAATTGGGAACCTAAAGTTTAGCTCTGAAGCTGTTTTCTTAATCACTTGGCATATCTATATTGTTCACAAACAATTGATGTAAAGTGATTGCAGTCCATGTGTTTGCAAATTTTCATGCAATTTTTTCTTCTTCTTTTAATTCAAGTGATAAATTTGAGTCATAGCGATGATGAGGAATTTAAATAACAAAAAATCTTGCTACTGCAGTGATTAAGAAATTTGCTCACTGTGAGGTATGTTAATTGTGTGGCAGTTGATGAGGTTGTCGGTAGTGCATTAAATCAGGTTGAAATGATATTGATGCCATGCAGGTTGAAATGATATTGATGCCATACTTGGTGGTTACCGAATTCGTGCCTTATATTTAAATTTTTAAATTTTGAATTGAAGAAAATTTAGTATGAATTAAATTTCTCAAGCACTGATTCTATGCTTTGGTAAGAGGAAAGTGACATGGACAAGAAGCCTATAAAGGTTTAGAAAGTGAAGTACTATATGAGTTTAGTTATAAAGTACTACTATATGGTGGAACAATTAAAAGTTCAGATAAATAAAGGGCCACCGAATGTATCACAATTACAAAGGCATGCTTAATTCATTTTTCTAATATTAAATAAGAAAACAGTAATAGAAAATCGTTTGGTTTGGTGTTACATGAAGTCAAATATAAATATTTTTTTGGCCTATCCGACGTGAAACCTTAACCTGCAACATTTTGTTCAGCAACTTGAGAGGTAAAATTCAAAGCAATCAAGGCAAAGGTTGGCCAATGACTTAAAGGTATGTTTGAGAATATGCAGAATTGAAATTAGCATAGAGAAAAATTAATTCAAATTCTAAATTAATTTTTTGCCCGTTCAAAATCACCTTCTCAGCAAAAGTATAAAATTACCCTTACAATGATGTTGGTTGGGACTTATTACTAATAAAATGAAAAGGATATGACTATCACCAGGTTAGGCTCCTACATTGAGTTGAAAAAATCGCGGGGATAAATATATATATTTTCTTGCTAAAAAATATATATATTTCGAAAAGTCGCGGGGTTATATATATATATATATATTGAGCACTGAACGTCCTTAAAAAAAGGCGGACGTGAATGGCAGTAAATTGATGTAGTGGAACGGACGGTGGAAAGGAGATCACGATCATGAGCGGCGACTATTTATCTTCTTCCCAAACAGAAACGAGCCAACAAAACCAGGTACAGAGGCAGAAAAGTTGAAATATATACTAGTATAGAGAGAGAGACTGTGTGTGTGAAGGAGCTAGAGAATGTCGTGGCAGACGTACGTGGACGAACATTTGATGTGTGACATCGACGGCCAAGGTCAGCATCTCACCGCCGCTGCCATCATCGGCCAGGACGGAAGCGTCTGGGCTCAGAGTTCTTCCTTCCCTCAGGTCTCTCTTTGTGTGTGTGTTTGTTACATTGCTGTTTGGTTTGATCTAATTAATGGAATTTTATTGTGCACATTTTGATCCTTTCTATTTGATTAGTACTTGTGCGAATTCGATTTGATATGTTTGTTTTGTGAAAGAATTTGAGTTTGATCTATCAAAATGTGTGTTCTCTTCCTTGAGGATTTGAATGGATTTATAGGAATTCATATGTGGATTCTGATGCAACAATGTGATTGTGGTTGGATATGTTTTTGATTGACTTGATTGCCATCTCTCTTTCTCAACTGCTGACATTGACAGCTTTTGTTTCTTTTGGTTATTTGTATGCAGTGTAAGCCTGAGGAGATCAATGGAGTCATCCAAGATTTTAATGAGCCGGGGCACCTTGCCCCTACAGGTTTGCACCTTGGGGGCACTAAGTACATGGTAATCCAAGGAGAGGCTGGAGCTGTCATCCGCGGAAAGAAGGTGATGTATATGTTCCCCATCTTTTTTTTTCTTGGAACAAATTTCATCATTAAATGAGTGGTTCGGGTGAACTCAACAAAACCTTCTTCCAAGTATTTTTGTGTGCTTAACATGAATTCTCTATATCAAAAAATGGTGACAGGAAGTTTTATATAACATGTTTTTAATTATAAACGCTCTTCCTTTATAATTTTCTCTGACTAATACTATTGGCGGAATTTAATACATATATACATTTTGATTTTGAGTTATTCTTAATACAAAAGGTGTTATTGTTTGAAATGCACAAATAACACGAGGTATGATTCTATATACACTAATGTGATGGAGCAAATCATTTGTTATGTGGTTTGATGGCTATGAATCTGTCACCTGCACGTCACTGTCGGATACCAGAGGGGGCAGGGGCAGGACCCGCCTGATTAGAATTAAGCAAAGAAGTTTTTTAATAGAATATTAAATTGAAATAGTATATCATGCTTCTTTTAGAAATTTGTATTACTTGTAATTTTTTAATATGTAGATATTAACAGTGATGGTGTGGCCTAATTGCTGAACCAATGGCCCGGTCCTTTGGATGGCCGGTCTTTGATCTGACAACTGTTGATCTTTTCCGAGGTTTAAATTTTGATATCTTTGGCGGTAACACAGACTGTATTTCCAATGCTTTTTGCTCCTCATTGTACTAATAACAAAGCATCTCCCACTTTTGGTGCATAATATATGTGCCACAGGCTGTGGTAATAATACTATGTACGCCAATTTATATTTTCTTCAAATCCTTCTTTTTAGAGACAATGGCTTTACACCTTTAGGTTTTCCCAGAGGATGAGAACTAGCTTTTTTATTTTTTCTTCAGTTCCTCCTTATTAGAGACAGTGGTTTTACACTCTTTGGTTTTTCCGGAGAATGAGAACTAGCTTGACATTGTAAATGCAATTTTTTTGGATTGTAAGTTCCACTGCATATACATAAACTGTGTAAGCAATGAAATCTCTTACAGGGAATAATGCATAAATAGCTATAGTGGCGATTATACTTCTAATTTCTGCAATATGCTATTACTTATAGTTTGCTAGCATACATTTTTAAGACCAGCAATAGGTTATCCATGTCAAATGTGGGATTATTGCAATGTTAACTTTCTAACAAGTCAGAGTTTGGCAATGAATCACGCGAAATGGGGGGCTTAAAGACATATAAATGAATATTTTCAACGCATATATCATCAAATATCATGCATATAAACACACACACACATATTGAAAAACAGATTCGTTGTATTATTTGGTTGCAGGGATCAGGAGGCGTCACCATTAAGAAGACCGGTCAAGCACTGGTCTTCGGTATATATGAAGAACCTGTAACTCCAGGGCAATGCAACATGGTTGTTGAGCGGTTGGGAGATTACCTCGTTGATCAGGGCCTGTAGCCATCCAGGTCATGTCATGATTTCTAGTACCTTTCGTGATACGTTTCTTTTCTTTTCTTTTCTTTTAAGCTTGAATATTCTTCCTTCCGAAGCCATGAATTGGAAGTGGACTTGTTCCGTACAATAATGATGTTGAAGGCGTAAACAAGTGTTGGTGTTTTAGGGTTTTTTTGTGTGGATTTGAAACACCCATGCATCTTCTACATTATGTGGATGTAATATTAATTTGCCCTTTTTAGTTGAGTAAGAGAATCAGACATGTTCGATCTCCACTAGACCATTAAATGCTTACACAATTTGCAAGAATATTTGTTGGAAGGATGAGGTGCTTGTTGGATATTAGTATTGTTTTAAATTTTTGAAAAGATGTACTCTCTCTTTCAGTTTGTTTGCAATTGTTCATTGCTTTATGTATCATTTTGCAGTTAATTAATTAATTAATTCTTTGCAAACGGGTATTATCTAGTGGCCTAATTGGTAGAGTGCTCAGCTCCCTGAATGAATGTGTAGGGTATTGGGAGGGAAAACTAGACACAAACTCGTACTTGACTACTGAAGAATCGAGTCCCTCAAATTACACAAAATATAACTAAAATGTATGTTTTGAATATCAATAACTTGCCAAGGTATGGCCTATGCTGTATTGTAGCAGTTCTTTCTTCACTGGTTAAAACCTTACAAATCATTGAAGCATATCAACTTCAGATCTTCATTTTCATTCAAACCAAAATTGGATGAGTTCTTAGGAAAAAAAATAAAAATAAAAAATAAATAAAACAAGAAGAAATTCATTAACACGAGCTTCCTCATATTAGGGTTTCTTCGAAGCTCTGTTGCTGCAAACTGCATTCTCAATAATTGGGATCTTCCTCCCTCATGCTGTAGGACTTTGATTGCCGTCGACGGCTCTGCCACCGGAATTGCTTCAGAAATCCACCACTAACGGCACCATATACTGTTATTTTTGGCTTTTTGTTTGAATTAGGTAGGGGCTGGGTCTTGGGCCAAAGGCATGTTGTTAACTGTAAGTTGTAGAGGGCTTCTCTCTGCTTCCCCAATATTTTTTGGGATGGTTTGGGCCGAAGGCCTTTCACTATATTTTAGCTTGACCTTTCTAAAAAAAAAAAAACAGAAGGAGAATCCTCACATCTGGCCCCATAACTGGGCTTTTATGTACATAGAAAGAGTCCCCCCACGCCCTACATGTAATGTCAAAATGCCCAAATCAATTTTTCATTTTGGGCCATTAATAAAGGAATGATTCCAAAATGAAAATCGATTAACACATTTATTTCCAACAATTTTCACTAATGTACTCACAAGAAAATGCAATATATAATTAATGAAATGGTTGGTATTTCCGGAAGATGGTTGCCGTCGGATGGTGTGAATTGTGTGGGCTTACTTCATCCAATGGCTAATAAAAGCAATGGTAGCCATTGTGGATAACATTTTCTTACCGGGGAAAAAGAAGAATAAAAAAAAAAAATTGAAAAAAAAGAAAAAAAAAAAAAGAAAGTGCAAAAGATACTGTATCTAAAGTAGAATATCTGGTCAAAACGTTAGTCACTCCTATTGGATAGGCAGCAAACCACCACCCAAATCATGGCGATAATAAAGAATGAAAAGAGTGACTCAGACATAAAGATTCTCTTACATTTTAATTATTAATATTTGTCTTCAAACCCCTTTTCTTTTGTATGTTGAAAATGTTCGTGGATAAAATTTTCATGGTTAAATTACGCGTCCAACCTTTGAACTTAGACAACCTTTTATGAGGTTCGAGAATTGCAAGTGTAAAAGTGATTGAAACAATTTTATCCTGTTGGAAAAGAAAAGGTGCGAAGGAAAATAAGAAGGAAGGGATGAATTTTTATTATTTGGTAAAAATGATATAAGAAAATAAAAGAGAATAAGAAGGATAGGCCCCTCTTTTATAAAAAATTTCATCTTTTAAAAAATAGAAGGAAGAAAGGAGGCAGAATAAATAGATTATTATAGAAGTTTTAAATTAAATATTATTCTAATTTATAAAAGTTTTAAATTACGCTATTATTCTCTATAAATTATAAATATTATTGAATATAATGGTAAAAATAATTAAAACTTTCACCTTTTTCCTTTCCTAATAAATATAGTAAATTATAAGCTTATTTTCTTATCTTCTATCCAACCAAATAAAAATACATAATTTCTTCTCTAATGATGTCTCATCCATTCCTTTCACTCACGTTTTTTCCTTCTTACGACGTTAGTAAAAAATCCTGCAAAGTTACTAATTTGCACTTTACAAACTCAAGCGAGTTGAATTCCATATCTACCCTTCGAAAAACAAAACTCAACTAATTCACAATTTTCATGTTAAGGTTTGTGAAATGTCAATTTGTAAGATTCATGCTGAAAAAAAAAAAAAAAAAAAAAAAAAAAAAATTGTAAGATTCAGGGACAGGAGCTTGTGACTATTATATTATCTAGTTAATTTTGAATTCCAAATAGGTTAATAAATTTTCAAATGAGTTGTTCTTTAACTTGGTGAATAAACTTGATTGAGTTTAAGTTTCAATTTATATTTGGGACTCAAACTTTGAATAAATTTTATTTTTTAAAAGTTTTATTATTTTTTAAAAGGTTAAGCAAATACATACACTTATTGTAAAGGTAAATTTGTATCAACTAAGTTATTGCTCATTAGGTTCATCTTCTAAAGTCCACACAAAATAATGTTTTTAAAAAAATTATTATTAATATATATACTCAAACTAATTGATCAATTGCACAAATTAAAAGCAAGACTAAGTTATTAATATTTCCAAACTAATTGGGCGAATTGTATGAATTAAAAAACAATAATAATTTCTTAGTGTTGGGAATTGGCAAAAGTGTAAAACTGGCAATGTGAGAGGGGCATTTATGAAATTATAGTAATAAACACACAGCACACGCCTCCAGACAATGAGATGAAAATGTGATGATTGCATTCGGCACATTTATTCACACTCGTAGCCACAACGCTAACATACATCTCTCTCTCTCTGAATCTGATATAAGACGACCAGTACAGAGCGCTCTCCGTGAGCAAAAAACACACACAAGCACACACAGAGAGAAAGGGGAAAAACCTAAAGGAGAAGATGTCTTGGCAAACTTACGTGGACGAGCACCTGATGTGCGAGATCGAAGGCAACCATCTTTCCTCCGCCGCCATCATCGGCCACGACGGCAGCCTCTGGGCCCAGAGCGCTTCCTTCCCTCAGGTAAACTCTATCTATCTTCCATGTCTCTGTTTCTGTTTGTTGTTTAGCATGCTTTTTCAAAATCAGTAGTACCAATTTATTTTATTCCCAACTCTGAATTATTTGATACTGAACTACGGATCCGATCTATGTCTCTTCGGGGGCTTAAATCGATCTTTACCAAGTAAGACCTGTTCAAAGGGTTGAAGTACAAATAGAATTCAAACCCAAACTGGCTTGCAAGATTGGTTAAAATCCATCTTTGTTCTTGGTGTTTTCTTCTCTTTTTTCTTTTTCTTTTTTTTGGTAAATTGAATGGATCATTTGAAGATCATATAAAAATTTATCTTTTTGGTTTTTTTTTCCTTATATAATTGAAAATTTATGTACTTGATCTGGCATGAAGGTCACTCTATACCTACCTTTTTCAGTGTTTCACTTTGGATTTGAGTGTAAGTTGTGTATCATTTGTAGGTTTGGATTTTGATTTGTCTATTGGGGTCTATCAATATGTTCCCAATGTAAGGTCAATAATCACAATTAGTATAGCACCTATGTACTTCGTGTTACTGCTGCTAGTATCATTTACGTTGTTAAAAAAAAAATTTAATATGTATTTTTTTTTTTTTAAATGCATATCTGGAACTGATATGGCCAACAATTAATATTTAGTCTCGAGTTAAATTAGATTTGGCACTTCATATGGTAGTCTGGTTCTGATTATTCTTCATTCCTTGGTTGAGAGCTCATGGTTATGCAGTTTTGCAGACAATTGATACATGGAATATCTGTAGCTGCAAGATTTTAGCAGTCCTAGGGATTGGCTGAAAACTGAAGAGGAATTGAAGTAGTGGAAAAACAATGTAGATGCTAATATCCGAAAATTTGACTTAGCATTCCCAAAGTTTTTAGGAAAACACTGAAAGAGTCAAGAGTGAAGAAACAAAAAAGGTTAAACAATGCAAGACAAAGAAAGCCTTTTCTAAGCATTATTTTCTTACTCCTCTCATTCTTTCTGGGAATGAAATGTAATATTAATGAATAACTTCTTGGATTAGGATCCCATTTAACCAACTTAAAGTATAATAATAACTACTTATAATTGTTATATATATATATATAACTGCTTTGATTTCAGTGCCTACTTTTTGGTTTTAAATAAACAAGATGTGTGCACCCGTCCTCAACAAAACTCACTTCCTTTCTAACCATATCTTTTAATGCCATGTGTTGTTTATTTGTTTTTTGATGGACACACGTACTTTGGTTTTATGTCTTATGTATTCTAGTTCAAGCCTGAAGAAATTACTGCCATTATGAATGACTTTGCTGAACCCGGTTCACTTGCTCCAACTGGCTTGTTCCTTGGTGGCACAAAATACATGGTGATACAAGGCGAGTCGGGAGCGGTCATTCGAGGGAAGAAGGTAATGAACCCATATCTGATCTCGGTCTAACTACCACTTGCAATATATATATGTTTTTGCAGGCATGTAAAGTATGTTGAATGCGTTGTACGCAAGGATGTTTTGATCTTTTTTTGCGTATGTTCAATCTGAAACCTAACTATACGTTCTTCAAAGCCTAAAAGGTTCACAATTCAGATGGATGCAGCTTCATATGCACTAGTCCCAATCCAGATGGTCATTAGCCGCAATGTATAAGAATAAAATTTGATTTTTTCATACTTAAAATTATGTTGATGAGCCACGTGTGACATGGCATTGACAATATTATTATGGGGGGCTTCATCATTGCTAAGCGGTTTTTTTTGGTTGTGTGTCCAGCTATGATATTTGAAATCCATGAAAAGTCGTAGAGGTCGATGCTACCTACTTCCACAGCAAACCAATAAAATGTTGAAGTTTGATTTTGTTTAATCTTGACGCTCTGTTTAATGCCATAAGCTCAGTACAAACACACATCTTTACTTACTATTTACAACCCATGTTATTTTTGTATTCCCCCTTCTCCTTGCATGATTGCATCACCCATAATGTGGAACGTGTCGCTCTTCCTTACTTGTGACTCAGCATTTGGTTGGATCCTTATTTCTAACGGTATCATTCTGACCCTATCCCATTCTTGTTTCAGGGACCTGGTGGTGTTACAGTTAAAAAGACCACTCTGGCCTTGATCATTGGAGTCTATGATGAGCCAATGACACCCGGCCAGTGCAACATGATTGTTGAAAGGCTTGGTGATTATCTCCTAGATCAGGGTTTTTAATTGCTTTGGTATGTTTTATTATATTTTGCAATTCTTTTTTTTTTTTTTTTTAATCTATTTTCCTTTGGAACAAAGTTATGCAATTTCTGATTTTTTTTTTTTTTTTGGTGTCATGGATCTGATTATCTGCTTGTTGAAATGGTTGCAGCTATATCAATACAAGAATTTTAAAGTTGTGAAGAACCTGTGAAACAAATGGTGTCTGGTGCTTGAGAAGTGATATAGATATCAACTCTTGCTGAATTCAAAAGTCTTGTCTTTGTAGTCTCCTTGTGGAAATTGTTATAATGATTTGAAGTGAGATGTTTATCTACTTCCGAGTGGTTTTCTTCTTGTTAAAAAAAATCGATTACTGAATTAATTGGTATTCTTCGCAAATATAAGGTTCGGGTTTTTTTCGTGATGGTATCAAGTTTGTTACTTTTTTTATTGGGGTGACTTATGTTCTGTTTTTTGTCCAAACACCATCAGCATGGTTTTAGATTGGATTTTTGTTCTGCTTTATTGTCCAGAGACAGAAGCAAGAAAATTAAATAAACCAACCAAATCAACCACATACAGCGGTCACTGTCACTCTTCAATGGTATGGCCTGTGTATCGGTGAAATGGACCGAACTTTGAATAGTCGGGAATGGTTTATCTCATGTGAGTATGAATAATACCATCAAAGCATGCAGCTGATGACAGGTCGAATATTTATTCACTGAGAGGGTGCACTTTCAGCATAATCACCACCATTGCTATAATCTTTTTCGCTTTGAGAGGATGCACTTTTACCAGAATCACCACCATTGCTATTGTTGCTGCCACCTTGAGATGATGTCCACTTTACCTAGAGTCACCACCATACTCTGCGTCGCCTTGAACGGATGCACTTTCACCAGAATTACCACCATTGCCATAATGCCATTGTTGTCTCCTCCGTCTTGCTCCAAGAAAGAAATACCCATACAAGTTTAAACAGCTTGATGCGCGAATCTTCTTCCATAATATAATTTTCTGAGTAGATTTTGCAGCTTAATCACCCTTAAGAAATAGGGTTATGTTATGATTTGGAAAGTAAGGAGAATTCAACAACTATAAATTACGATCCCCTTACCCCAGCTACCTATATAAAAAGATTTCTCTACTCATTAACTAGTGGTTTTTTCTTCAAAATATATTTACACCTTTGGCAATTGGTAATTAATACCTGATTATATATCTACACCTTTAGCAATTGGTAAGGCGTACAAAATCCAATGTCATCCACCACCTTTACCAAATGGTCCCGGTGTGCCAGTGTTGCCCCCCATCCCTAGTTTGCCAGGGAAAAAAAAAAAATTTGGTCTCTGAACCGAAAATTGCAGAACAAATATAGAGAGCAACGGCTACCACATATTCAACTTTAAGGAATTGTAGCTATCATCTGTTTGAACACAAGTGACCACAAGACATTAATTTTGAGATTTGACCAAAATTTGGACGCAAAAAGTATGCCGAGATATTGTAGCAATTGCACCGTTCCTAAACACGACACAAGTGTAGAGACAAAACAAAAAGCTACAAGCTAAATTGCAGACTCCTTTCACAATGTGCAAATACAGGTCCACAAATATCCCATTGAAGGATTGGTCTAGATGCCATCTTTTTGTAACTAAGAACCTATTTGACATCATACAAAACTAGGAAGGAAGATTGCTCTATGATAAATACATCCTTGCTACCCAAGAAAAAAATTTCCTTAAAAGACGGCTTCGAAAGAGGCAAACCTCTTGTTTGAACGGAAGACTCCGCTCCCAAAATCAAGCTGCTTTAGGCATTGTTCAGATTCAGAACAAAAAGAAGAAAATCATTCAAGCTGCTTTAGACATTACTCAGGTACTGAATAAGAAAGTCATCAAGAGGAAACCACAAATCCACTTAGAAAGTACTTTTCGGGTGGAGGAAGAAGGTGAAGAAGTGGCTGTCACATTACTTGCGGCAGTTTTGTTGCTCCTGTAAAATTTTGACACCCGAATTCAGTGATTTATACAAATGATGGAAAAAAGAAATGGCAATATGAACTTTTAAAATTTGAATATGTTGTCTCGGTGAACATACCCAGCTGTCATATACAAGCAGCTGTCATAGCCTGCACAAATGATAACAGTAAATGTGAGTGGTATTATCAGCCCTCTGGAAGATCTCAAATGCGAAATTGAAGGAAATGACTGTCCAAGACTATTATGCGTTTGCTATAGCAGCACTGTGCCCCGCTACCTTGTGATACCACTCAGCCCTCTGGAAGATCTCAAATGCGAAATTGAAGGAAATGAATGTCCAAGACTATTTTGTGCTTGATAGGACTCTCTTAGTTGAGGAATAAAAGATTTGTAACAGTCATCATGACATTTCAGAAATTTTTTTTTTTTTTAAAGGAAAAACTATATGGAAAATTACCAGCGGGCCAGTGGCCTAGCGGTATTAGGCCCCTACTTCCCAAAGGGAGGTCAGGGTTCAAGCCTCTGGAGACGTGTGTGCGAGTACCAACTAGGAAAAAAAAAAAAAAAACTATATGGAAAATTTACTCTAATGCACTAACTAATATTATGCGGGGTTATTAGCAAAAAGAGGACTGCTAGCCACGATTCTTGATGTTGTTGAATGGATTGAATGTTACATTCTCAGCTAGTAAAATCAAGAAAACTTTTCCATGCACAAGCACATGTCTGATTGCAAATCTTTTCCATTTTGATTTGAGGATATGCTAACACATGCATGAATCATGCACCTGAGTTATAAATTATAGGGTATAAGGGCAATGCTATTTTAGCACTTTTTTTATGTGTCCAACACGCAAAGATATGATTGTTAGAGATATGCTAACCAATGCATGAATCATGCACCTGAGTTCTAAATTATAGGGTATAAGGGCAATGCTATTTTAGCACTTTTTTATGTGTCCAACATGCAAAAATATGATTGTTAGAGATATAATGGAGACCAACACATGCCAAGTTAGACACCGACACTAACACTCTGCCATGACCCATGTTATATGGAAAATATAAAAATGAAAATACAAGTATTCATCTGAGATTATCAACTTAGAATAGACCATTTTGCAACTACAACAAGAAGCAGCCTTTTTCCCAACTATGTAAAAGCATTTTGCAAATAAGCATTATTTGTTTTTTTTATATCCTTATAGCAGACCAGTTCAACAGCATTAGGAAATAATTAATCAATCTATGTAAAACCAAGAAGAACTCAGGATTTCACTTAATTATGTTTTTCACTTAATCAATCTATGCACATGAGCATTATTAACTTGATCCACCAAGGCACATAAAAGAATTCATATTCTGAGTATAGATATTCATTTGAAAAGATGTCTAAACTAGGAAAAGAATTTTTTCCCAAAAGAAAGTTCTTAGCATACATACTTGGGTTCTTATTTGTTTTAACGCCTGTTCCCCCAAAGCTGCAAGCAACATCGGTAGCTCCATTTTGCTGGTAGTAACTGTTGAATGCAAAAGAAGCGTGATTAACTAGATTATCCGGCTCAAAACAAGGTTGGCTAGGCTGAATAGCAGAGCAATCCACATTCCCAGGTCCACAGGCCCAATCCAAGGCATTCTGTAAGTCAGCTTCAGAAACTGTAGCTGAAGCAATGCACCATGCAGTACCATTCGAACTGGTAACATTTGCTTCTGTAGTCATGTCCACAGCACCTCTTCCCGTAAAATCAAGGTTATAGACACTTGTTTGGTCTGGATAAAATAATCCCCAGTTCCTCTCAGATTCCAGACCAGGCTTCCTGTTCTCATTGAACAAAGAAAAAATATACACATCTAGCTCCTCTCCAGGCTTTGCAGGTGTACCAGTATCATTGATGACATGGCGAATCAGATTGGTGTTGTATTTCTGGGCATTATCTGGAGTTGCGGCTGTCTCCTTTGCTGATCCTTTAGAAGGCCAGCCCGTCTCAGTGACCATTATTTTAATTGTTCTAAAGTTTAAAGCCATCAGGGCAAAATAAAGAGCATCAATCTGGGCATCAAACATATTTGTGTAAAGTAAACCAGTGTTTGGGTCGATTACTTCATTGGATGACTCAAATAGAGCATAGTCCAGAGACACATTTTTGGGGTTTTCCCTATAAGCATAATAAGGATATATATCAATCATGAATGGAGACTGGTTCTCAGCAAGGAATTCTAACATAGGTTTCAGAAAGAATGCATGGCTGCTGTTGAAGGCCCCCGCAGAAGGTGGGAACGATCGGGACAAAACACCAAGAGAATGGGTACTTGAAACTTTAATTTTCCTCTGCAAACCAGCTTTTCTCAAAGCGGTGAAAACATTTTGCATGGCAGGTACAACTTGAGCAGAGATATTAGTGGGAGCTTCTGTCACCTCGGCACCAACAGTTATATATGTAATCTTTGTTGCTGGATAGTAGGGAAGAATGTTGTTCTTTAACCAGGTGTCAGCATTGGATTGGAATTGGGAAAATGGCAACAAATCTAAATTTGAAATCCCAATCATGACCTCAACTCCAGTGTTTGCAAACGCCTTGAGAACCTGGATATTAGAATCATAGATTCTAACATATTTAATTTTGTGAAGTTGGACCAACTGTGCTGCTTTATCTGGTGTGGGAAGGTCATCAGCATTTCTTCCATAGCAAATTCCAATTGTGCTTCCTTTGCATACATCTGTCAAAAATATTAACAAGATTCATCCAACAGCATAGAAGGAAAGTATCATAACATGCGCATGTGTGTGTGTTGAGAGAGAGAGAGAGAGAGAGAGAGAAATGAATGACGGCAGATTTTGTCATATACACCCCTAAAAGCATTGAGAGACACATAAAAAGGAAGTCACAACTTGCAAACTATACTAATTCTAGCGTACTTCAAAGAGACTGAGCAATGTAAATAGTTCCATTGCTAACTACATTGTTAAATGGCAATTTCTATTATTGATAATATCTCTGGCCACAGGAGATTTCATAATTTAATATCTCTCCCATCCTCTTTCAATATATTAAGCCGTGAAAGCAATACATAAAAATGAATATTACATTTTTATAGCTCAATGATAATGTATGTACATATACTGAAGCAGATTGTTCTATTAATCGCATCATTTATTTATTTATATATTATAAGTATTCTAATAATTGCATCATGATGCACTTAACTCGTGTTATTAGTTTAATATATACACATCCTCTTTTAATTTAATTAAGCTGTTAAGGGCTTAAGGATGAGAGAAACATGAAAATGACTGTTGGATACCATTGTTCAATTATACACATATAGTGAAGCAGATTTTCTACCAATCACATTATGATGCATTGACTCATGCTTTCTTCACATTGAGAAGCTTGCTGACACTGTGTGGACAGAAATATTTGCGAGAGTATTCCAACATAAGGTTTATGTGGCTGTAGAATAAAGTTTGACCCAATAGAGAAAGATCAATGCTGTGGTAATCTCGGCACTTGTAACATTTTATGATTAACTAACAAAAGACATGTTATATGAGACTCTCCAGATACTATCATTTAATAGACTCAAATCAACATTTCAACATGAAATCCGCAGAAAATGGCTAAACTTGGCCGAGAAAGAAAATTGGACAATACTTGATCAATGAGCAACTAAAAACAGTTGAACTGATGATACATATAGTACATCACTTGAATGCTCCTGGCAGCAAAGATGAATGAAGGCAAATGAAACATCTTATTCAGAAGGATTATTAACTCAATGCTTGTGTAGGACCAGTTTATCAACTTTAGACTTGTCTTGCAGCATACTCTCCCATTTGGATCATATACTGCTTATAAAGCCTCATGGTTTAAATCACTTCAGATAAGACTATAAGTTACTTGTTATTAGATACTAAACAGGACCTAATTGGTGTGAAACTCTCCTTTAAATTCTACCATAGCTACATAAATGGATAGTTGTTGATCTTAAGAAAGTTCTTGACCTTCTCAAGAGCAACTTAGATTATCAATATCTGATTAATTTGACCGATGAACAACTGTGTGCAAGTATTCATAGTGGGTTAGAAGCACTGCAGTGTATTTACAAAGTTCCAACGACAACAGAGCACCTTGGTGGATACATTGAATGTCAGCTAAGTGAGATAAAAGTGTATTACATGCACTTAATCGTCCTCAAACATAAAGGAAATTTGTTTCTATTATCGTCTCTTAACTAATAAGATTTGACAGAATTACACTCCCCTCCAACTATGTCTTTGGATGATGAAGCCAAAAGTTTTTCACTCAAGAGTCAAGGCCATCTTGTAAGATAGACAATCTTGAACATCAGATCATTCAGAGAATCAGCACTATGTACGCCTCTCTTCTCTCCAACACACATGAAGCTTTAGTAATGGATTTACAAAATATAGCAGAAAATGCCTCAGTCAATAAAAATTGGCAATGCCTTTGTAGTGTAATTCAATGACAAAATTGATTCCAACAGCCAATTTAAACTAAATAACCAAACTTTCAATCTCAAACTCCCATCACATTAGAAATTATATCTCTAGGAGTATGATTATTAATTGGATGAATATAGAGGATCTAACAACCAAGAACTGCAAATCAACCAAAGGAGTTCAACGCTTTTTTTCTTTATTGATTTCTTTCTTTTTTTTCTTTGACAAGTCACACACACTCATTTTGCCCCATAGAAGATACATTTTTGTTATAGAATAATGAATAATTAGGGTATGCAAACTAAATTAATGCATTATGGTCATCTAAGAACTTGAGGTCCTACCAAATCAATAAAATCCTACCCACTTGACAATGATGTAAATGCAACCACCACAAGTGATAGAAAATCCTACCAACTACTGATCTTTTAAGCTTAGCATCAAACAAAGAAAATAATGGTAATGATAACAGTGGTAGTTTGTTTCAATTCTCTCTGCTGCAAGAAAAAGAAAAACATTGTTTGAATTGATGTAGATAGATAGATAGATATATAGAGAGAGAGAGCAACATTTACATACGCAGACATATATACGATCTGTGTGTGTATATAAAGGAAAACAAGAGAGGGACCCCCAAATTTTTTTTTAAAAAGGGCAATAAAAAGCGAGAAACAAGGGTTTCAATTGAAGCAAACAATGAAACAGAGGGGAAGACGAAATGGGTTGTGCTTAATCGAAAGAATTGAATATTTGCTCATTCACTTTTAAAACAGGATTAGTGTTAAATACATGTATTTGTGTACTAAAAATTGAGGGGAAAATTGTAAAGGAGAAAAATAAAAAGTATGAGCTTAAGTCCCAAAGACAATGAAATGCAGGAATAGACAGAGTTATGTGTGTAAAGAGTGTGTGTGTGTGTATGGAATGTAGCAGAAACAAACCTAGAAGCATTAGAAGCAACGAAGTTGCAAAGATAAATCTGAAGTCTCTTCCCATTTGTTCTTCGTCTTCTTCTCTAGCTGCTTAATTCTTCTTTATCTTCTCGACTCTCAGTCTACTCTTTTCAGTTCTGTGCTCCAATCCAATCCAATCCCCACTATAAAACGTTCTTCTTTTTATATAACGTCTCTCTCTCCACTTTATATCACTAATCACTACAGTTTAGAGAGAGAGAGAGAGTCTGTGTGTTTGTTTGTGTGTGAAGGTGTTACAGTTGATGGTCAGAGTGTGTCAGCGATGTTGGAAGCGGACTTCAGAGATGTTTATGAAATAGAGTTAAATGGAAAGGTCTCGATTCCGCAGCTAATAGCTTGGATTAGCTTAACTATGCGTAGCATGTCTGTCCCGCACCTATTAAATCTCGTACTCTACACCACCACTAGATGCCACATCAACGGTACCTAGCTACGTCTAAAGCCCCACAAATAATCTTTCTTTTTCTCATTTGGTTTTTGAACTTCGGACCCCCTCTCTCTCTCTCTCTATATATATATATAATATTCTCTCTCTACGAGTTGTTTTTTGGTTAAACTCTCTCTACAAGTTACTAGTGCCTAGTAGTACTATTTACCAAGAGATTTTCTGGTTGCTTAATTTTTTTTATATATATATATTTTTTTATTTTTGTGTCCATGTCGCTTTAATAAATACTTAGTGCTCCTCCAAAAGGCTATAAATTATTGAATGAGCCCAACTAAAATTCTCTAATAAATAAATAAATAAAATAATTGAATAAGAGAGTTATATTAAAAAAAATAAATTAAAATTTAGTTTTGATTTAATTGGACTCATTAAGTGCCTACTTTCCATGTAATAAATTTTCAAATAATTTTGATTGAAGTAGTCCCACTAAGTGGGCCAAATTCATGTAATAATTTTTCCTATGTGACAGTGACTAGGATTGCACGTGTTTGACATTGATTTATTGAGGGTTCTGAAAATTCCAATACTAATAAATAATGCTCGGCTGGGTTTGGGCCAGTTGAGCTTTATGCCGGCCCTGTACCAGGAGCTCGTATAATTGGGACCATGAATTACTTAAAACTTTCTTACTTCCCCCACCGGGTTCATTGACCAGTGGGTTCGGCCGGGTTACATACTGGATTATATGTGTCGGACCGTAAACCTAGCGATGAGTGAGTTACAACAATTTTAGTAAGGTTTTTCATATGTTAAAAATGACTGTTTGTATCGAAATTATTTTTCTAGAGCCTAAAATATCATAGGATGTTAATAAGTGTTTGGTATGACTTTAATGAACTTCATTTGATTCATCTTTTGGGTCACATTAGCCATGTAGACTAATGTGGGTTTTATCTTCTGCATTTGTGATCATTTTTTATTCTTTTTGTCATTAACCTTCACAGTTGTACTCGTGTTCAAAATTTGTTAACTTCGTTTGAGATGCTTTTATTGTCGTAGAGATAGTATTTTATTCATATTTGTTTTCGCATTCGAATTTAGTTTTCGAGTCGATTTCAAACTTTATTAGTTAGTGCATCGAATCATGGAATTTGGAGCGTTGATAATATTTTTTTAATAGACACAAAAACACATAAATTGGTTTGGAATATATATATTTTTTTCTATTTCTTTCTTTTTTCAAATAAATGTGAATATTATTTATGGTCTTGACTTTAATTCAAAAGGAATGCTTAGGACAAACTCGACTCTACCAACTTATTCACAAATTTTAGCCTCATATTATTCAAGGAACAAAATTGGATAAAGTCTCACAAAGAATTTGAAAAAGAAAAGTCCCGTCAACTTTGAAAATTGAGAGGTAAACATATATGTATTATGATCATATACAAAGCAGTACAGTGAATATTATTCACTATGTCCAGAATTTCTAAATAATTATTTATACTTTTCTTAGCTGAAATACTATTGCCCTACTTTATTCAAATTTTGAATTATAAATACTCCCAATTGATGTTAAATCTATCCGAATAGAAATTTATAATTTCTAAACTCCTACATTCTCTCCAAATTAAATTTTCACTGAATTTGAAGAAAATAATCAAATAAATTTTAAAACAACACCCAAAGTCTTCTAGTCCTAGCTCTCTTTTTATCGGTCTCTAACTTTCTCTTTAAAATTTGGTCGGTCTAATATTTTTCATTTGTAGACTATTAAATAAAGTTTTGTAACGTTAAATTAATTAAGCACAGTACATGATTACTTTTTTGGCGGTCATCCCCATTTGAATTTATTGTTTACGCGAATCGTGTCGGTCGGTCACTCGTCGCCGTTTCCAAAAAGAAAATATTCTCTCTCTCTCTCTATTTCTGTGTGTAAAACACATATACACACATATATCATTTGTAAACCCTAGAAGACAATCATGAAGACCAAGAAACCACTTACACAGCTGAAGCTCTCTGTTCCTGCTCAAGAAACTCCAATCACCAGCTTCTTGTAAGCACAAACACCTTTGTCTTACTTTCTGTTTTCTTGATCTGATCAATTCCTTGCCTTGTCTATTCGAGTTTTTTTTGGTCTGTCAGTTCGATTTTCATTTTTTGTGTTTATGGATATGATTTCGAATTGCATTTAGATTGATTTACCCAATCGCTAAAATTTCAATTTGCAATCTTCTTGAAATTTCGTTGATGTAAGTTATTTTTCTGTAAATTTTTTTGCACAAATTTGAATTTCAGGACTGCGAGTGGCACATTTCATGAAGGCGATTTGCTCTTGAACATGAAAGGTTTGCGACTCACATCCAAAGAAAACGAACCTCGTGTAAGTTTTCTTGCAATTCAGTTCTTGTACAGTTTACTTAATAATCTGAAAGGCTCCACTTTAATGTAGTTTCCGGGGAAATTATTCAACACCTTTCTGCCTCTAAACATATTTACAATGATTTTTTCTGGTTATAGTATTGTATTCCTAATTTTTTTCAATGTGGTCCATATCACTCTGAAAAGTGAAGATCTGATGGATTCTGCGGATTATTTAATAGCGTGGTAAATTTGATGGGACATCTTGTTATAATGAAACTATTGCAAGTAATTTAGAGAAGTAATTTATGTAAAGCAGAATTCTGTAGACTTGAGATTATGATATTGTTCATCACACCTTTTCTTTTTCCTTTTCCTTTTTCTTTTTATTTTTTTCTAATGAAATAAAGGTGCTTTGGGATAAGTAATACAACATCAGATGTTGACACTTTTAGCGATCTAGCTTTGCGGCATAGAGGGTTTCAACATTTATGCTTCGTTTGGTTGGAGGGATGGAAAAATGGATGGAAGAGATAGAGGGATGGATGGATGAGGAATCCCTAGGGAACGGAAGGTGTTTCCTCCATTTTTTGTTTAGTTGAATGGAATGGATAGTAGAAAGGATGGATGGGGTGATACTTTTTTTTGTTTGGTTGGAGGAAGGGAAAGAGATTTTTTATATTTTTTTACCAATATATCCTCACTGTATAAAATAACAAAAAGTAAATATCCATTTGAATTTTTTTGAAAAGGTTAAAATTGGAAATTGCATATTGTTGGTAGTTATTCATTTTCTCTCTCCTCCCTTCCCCCTAAAATTGGGCGGATAGAAAAACATGAAGAAAGGAGGGATGAAGCATCCCTCCTTGCTTCCTTCCTCTCTTCCCTTCCCTCCAACCAAACACGAAAAGCCTCATCCATCCCTCCTCAATCCATCCCTCCAACCAAACATAGCATAATATAGGGAAAATCTGGGGATGAAATCACTTTTGGTTTTGAGAACTGTTGAATGATCCATTACTTAAGAGAAAACACATAATTTTCCCATTCATCTAATTGTAGAAGGAAAATGCTAATAAGTGTAGCTGAGAAAAACTAATCATAATCACCCATTGATCTCTCTTCCTCATGTAAATTGGTGGTAATCATATTCCATTAGCTTCCTTTGCCTTGTAGTCATATCTAAAGCGGCCTACCCCAGATTTTCTACATTCCTTTGGTGTGGCACCGCGGCTTGTTCATGATCTTTTTGGTTTGCTAAATACTTGTTCTTGGAGGCAAAAACATATGTTAACTCCTTTTCTGTTAGATTAAATATTTATATTCTGATGAAATCTCTTGTTTTGCTATAAGGATTGTTGAGTTGAGTTATCTTCAACTTTTAGTTATAGCGATCTAGCTTTGCGGGTTAGAGTGTTTCAACATTTAGGATCTGGGGATGAAATCACTTTTGGTTTTGAGAACTGTTGAATGATCCATTACTTAAAAAACGAATAATTTTCTCATTCATCTAATTGTAGAAGGAAAATGCTAATAAGTGTAGCTGAGAAAAACTAATCATAATCACCCATTGATCTCTCTTCCTCATGTAAATTGGTGGTTATCATATTCCATTAGCTTCCTTTGCCTTGTAGTCATATCTAAAGCGGCCTACCCCAGATTTTCTATATTTCTTTGGTGTGGCACTGCGGCTTGTTCATGATCTTTTTGGTTTGCTAAATACTCATTCTTGGAGGCAAAAACATCTGTTAACTCCTTTTCCTGTTAGATTAAATATTTATATTCTGATGAAATCTCCAAGTTACAGTGATGGCAATTATTTAAAAATATGCTATTATATAAAGTAAACTTTGCTTATAAAACAGGCAACCGTCGATCTACTCATCCAATTGAAAGTCAAGTCCATTGTAGAGATCTTATGGTTTAATCTTACCAAATGACATCTGCAACTAAAATAAATGGTTACGAATACCACCTTACATATGATAAGGTGGATATGTGTTTGTTAGATATGACTTTTGATAGTATCTATTGATCTTGTTTTGCTATAAAGATTGTTGAGTTGAGTTAATCTTCAACTTTAAATGTAATCTATTGGAATCAATTAGATGGCAAGCCTCAAATTTTTATTCAGCGTTTCAAAGAGCAAGACTTTATTGTGAACATAAGCTGCTTGAAAGGTCCCATAAGATGGCACACACCATCTTCATCTTCATATGAAAATGGCAAAAAAAAAAAAATTTCAAAAAAATTGACAAATGTACGTTAATCACTCTAAAAAAAGTCGATTTTATTGCATAAGCAAATCAAACCTTGCGGTAAACCAAAACCTGTGCTTCTTACATATGGTACAAGATACATGAAAATGAATGAGAGGGTGCCTCATATGCTTATTATGGGTTTTCACTTTACATTTTGGTAGCTATGCCATAATTTTCAGTACATGTTCTTATGGCTAACATTAATACAAAACCTGTCAGTTCTCTCCTTGACACATGCTAACTAATCTTTCTTCCGCTTCGATTTGTGCTTGTATATAGATGCACAATATTAAGTATTTTTTTGGGTGAATGGACTGGACTGGCACTTGTTGCACTAAAAATTGATTTGGCACATACATTGAGAAGCAGAATGTGACTACAAAATGAAAGAGAGAACCTATGGTAAGCATGTGTAGGCACCTTCCTAAAAACCTTGCTGATAGATTTAAAAGTTTTCATGTCAACTGTAACGTTTGGTATCTATTTGATTAACAAGGAGCAAAAAGTTGGTAAGAAATGTAGGAACTATTGACCATGGGGATTGTTTGTGGACATATTGGGGGTTTGTGAAATTTTTTTTTCTAAAAACAGGGAAATGTTAGCTAGATTAGCATCTGTAAGAACAACATAGTTAATCTGGCCCCTTGCCATGTCTACTGGTTCACCACAGCCGTAGTTATCCTTGTATTTATGACAAACACCGGGATCTATTGTGATTTTCTTGTTATATATGATCTAGAAATATTCATGTTTATTCTTTTGCAATGTACATTTGCCGAGTGTTCTGAGTTTACAGTCCGATGCCATCATATTTATTTCTGCTTTGCTTGGACAGCTTTCAGAAACTGAGCTTGATCTCCAATTCTCATTAGAAGACCTTGAAACCATCAAAGTCATTGGGAAGGGCAGTGGTGGCGTAGTTCAACTTGTTCGCCACAAGTGGGTCGGAACACTGTTTGCCTTGAAGGTCAGTATACTATAGACACATTGTTCAACTTCCTGTTAGTTTATTTGATTTTGTAAACATATTACTGACTATTACCATAGAGTTCGAATTTTTAATAAAAAGATTTACATAGATATACCAGCGGAAAAGTTATTATTAAAAAATTTTTCTTAAGGTAGGTAGCTACTAATCTTTGTCATCTTTGGAATGTGAAGTTTGAAGTAGCTACTAATCTTTGTCATCTTTTTTAAGCAGAAGGGAGAGCTGCCCCTGGTTGGGGTTGCTCTTGTATGCATGTACTCTGGCTATACTTCGACTCTTCTAGCGCCTCTTATTGGTGCTTTAGCTTTTGTACCAAATTCAAATATAATTAATAACAAACTTCACATTCCAAAGTGATTGGCTCGATAAATAAATTCTTCCTCACCTTTTTGATACATCAGCATATTGAACAATTCATTAAGCAGTGCTTCACCTTTGGATGTACATTAGAACTTGGCCTCGTGAACAATTCAGTTGCCTGTTTTTCACCATTTTGCAGACATTTTTGTGGAAGTTGTTTATTGGAACAGTAATTCACAATACTAGCCTCCAAAATTCTTTAGCGATACATATACTGAGATTTTTTTAGTTGTTGTTATGGTATTACTACGATGATGATGGTTTGAATATCACATTTCACAATCCAGGCTGTCAAAACTATGTAAATAATTAACTATGAAGTTCATTGGGTTGTGTATCACAGGTTATACAGATGAACATACAAGAGGATATTCGTAAACAAATTGTGCAGGAGCTGAAAATAAATCAGGCATCACAATGTTCACAAGTTGTAGTTTGCTACCATTCTTTCTATCACAATGGAGTCATCTCTCTGGTGTTAGAATACATGGACCGTGGGTCTTTGGCGGATGTGATCAGACAAGTCAAAACAATCCTTGAACCATATCTTGCAGTTGTTTGTAAGCAGGTTTGTGAGTTTCATCTCTTCCCAACTAAAGAGCTGAGACACAAGTGCCTTTTTGATAGTTTGAGGAAGTTGGCAAATTCTAGCTTGATACAAAACCGTGTCTGTATTCCAGGTTTTACAAGGTCTTGTGTACTTGCACCATGAAAGGCATGTAATTCATAGGGATATAAAACCATCCAACCTGCTGGTAAATCACAAAGGAGAAGTAAAGATTACAGATTTTGGTGTGAGTGCGATGCTGGCCAGTTCTATGGGTCAACGAGATACATTTGTTGGGACTTACAATTACATGTCTGTAAGTGGAGTAATCACCCTTCAACATTTTCCCTAGAACACTGAGTATATTGGTGTAGCTATTTATATAGTGATTTCTGTTCTTTTTTTTTAATCTCAGTAATTTAAAGTACATTTTGAATGATCCCAAATTTTTTTGCATGCTATGCTATCTTGACAAATGAAAGCTAACTGTAATGTTTTTACGTCTCTTTCAGCCTGAAAGAATTAGTGGGAGCACATACGACTATAAGAGCGATATTTGGAGTTTGGGCATGGTAATACTTGAGTGTGCTATAGGGCGGTTTCCCTATATACAATCTGAAGATCAGCAAGGTGGGCCAAGCTTTTATGAGCTTTTGCAGGCCATTGTGGGAAGCCCACCACCTTCTGCTCCACCAGATCAATTTTCTCCTGAGTTCTGTTCATTTGTATCGGCTTGGTAATGACTAAGATGTCCTCAACTTGCATTTACATTGTTGAATTGCATTATGAAAATCCCTTATTCATCTCCAATTGATTGCACTTTTGTGCTTCGCTCGTTCTTTTTCATTATAGCTCTTTTAAAACTTAATTTTTTTGTGTCTTACTGGTGCCTAAGCTTAGACTAATATTCCTGGACACACTTGCACAATGACTAAGATGTCCTCAACTTGCATTTATATTGTTGAATTGCATTATGAAAATCCTTTATTTTGATCTCCAAGTGATTGGATTTTTTTACTTCGCCTGTTCTTTTTCATTAATTATGTCAATAAGCTCTTTTCAAACTTAATTTTTTTGTGTTTTACTGGTGCCTAAGCTTAGACTAATATTCTTGGACACGCTTGCACAATGAATACTTTTTCCTTTACGGCCAGTATTTTTCTTTTTCTTTCACCTCTGTTGTCCAAATCCCGGTTTGCATATTTGACAGTAGAGCATCTTCATAATAATCATCCGCTAATATTTTCTTTCAAAGAAGCATGACATTTCTTATTTGTTGGATGCATATTCTCCCCCATATAACAGAAAGCAGCTTCTATGAAACTCAGTTTGCATAAAATAAATTGTATCCCTCATTGACTCTATTTGTTCTATGCATATGCAGCATAAAAAAGGAACCTCGAGACAGATTGTCAGCTTTGGACCTATTGGTTAGTATGTTACTTATTAGTAGATATTCACGTTTCAAAGTCAATTACTTATTAAACCTCTGTTGTGCTCCAGAGTCATCCATTTATCAAGAAGTTTGAGGACAAAGACATTGATCTCGAGATTCTGGTGGGTAGCTTGGAACCTCCTGTAAATTTTACAAGATAAATCTGTCTTGCAATGATGGATTTTGAGTGTGAAATGTTCTCACTTATATGTATCGACAGCTGTGCTCAAACATTACATAGCAATTAAGCATTTGATATGCCATGCCTAACTGTCTTTGAATGTTCAGATAGTAATGTATTCATCAGGTACCTAAAATCAGGTTCTGGTTGGGTCCATGTCTTGATTGGGTGTATCAAGCATTTAAGCGATGGACCAGGACCTGCCCCGGCTACTTATTTTCTTGGCCGGATCTTCCATTTTAGTGTAATTAGTGAGGTTGCTGGACCTACTTAGCTGTACCTCCTCTTCAGAGAGCCACAATTAAGTCCTCAATATCTCTCAATTTTAATTCACTGGTTTACTATTAATGTGATTGAATGGCTACGTAGCTATTTTGCGTACGAATTCTTCTATGCTTTGCCCACACCTTGCCCATGAAATCTGATTAAAATAACATTGTCGGCATCAGGTTTTTGTAGATGTCCATTTTTTTACATTCCTTTGCTGCTTCGTTTGGTTACCTCTTCCACCAATTTCTGCAACAAATATTCTATTTTGCAGATCGTTTACCACTATTAGACTATTAGCTTAAAATTTACAAGAACCAGGACTAATGCTATGCTTTCTTTATTCTCTTTTGGTTGTCTTTTGTCTTTCTTTTTTTTTCTCCTATTCGTTTGTGAACAAACATTCTATTCTTAGAACTCCTTTAAGTAGAGAGACCAATCCTATGCTATATCTGTACTCTTGACTACTTTCAAGGCTTTAGGTTTTTTTATGATGAATACCTGATCTATGAGACTAGGGTAATTTCATTATTGGCACAAAAGATATAAAGGAAAAAAAAAAATTAAAAAAAAATGAAAGTAGAAGCTAATGTGTTTTTTTGCATATGTGGGAGAAAAAAAAAACCTAAGGGAGGTTGGCAGAGAAAATGATACACTGTTCGACACTTTCACACCACCACAGTTGGTGGGACACAGCTTTTTTGTGAAGTGCCAAACAAGGGTTGAAAGTATTAGGGTTTTTAATTTTTTTTTTTTTTTTTTGAGGGTAGTATTAAGCCATTTATTGGCACATGCCTAGAGAGATTATTACATGGCTCCAAGATCATTGATTTCGGCCAATTATAAGTTGACATGCAAGTAAAAAGTGAAACAAAATTAACGTAAATTTTAAACAAATATTTACATATCAAAAAAATAAAATTAACGTAAATCTTAAACAAATATCAAAGAGATGTAATAATTTTTCATATATCCCATGTGAACTACATACACAAATTAATGGCGAGTAAGCAGTATTGGCAAAAAATGGGGTGGCAAGTTCAGTACCATCAAATGAATGACAATTCCTTGAGTCATATGACTCATGACATGTACCCTGTCGCCTTCTTATCTCATTCCCTTTTCTCAAGCCTCCCTTCCATTCATTTACTAATTAGGCAAAATTGTAATTACAAAGGAAATAATTGGAACCAATAGTTTGAAAATCATGTGTTATTTTCATTTCATATTCTACATTTTTTTCATCTAACTTACAGTTAATTGTGATCTAGATGTTTAAAATAAAATATATATATATATATATATATTCATACAAAAGTATAATTGCATATATTGATTCTAGACTTTGTAATGACAGAAATCTCGTGCACTTGCCTAATATTATGTATTACTTTCTTTTTAAAATTATAATCATCCATCTTTTCTTATATTTTGATGTTACATGATTGTCATTCCAGCAACGTAGAGTGCCGTCCAAATGACTTACTATACAAAAATTGTACCATCTACAATAGTTAAGATCGATGTGGACAAATTTAAACTATTGGACATAAATTTTGTCAAACTTTGAAAAAGGGTTGGTACAAGAGTTTAGCCATGTCAACCAAATTTTGTTCTCTCCAAGTATTGCAAGGTTCTCCTACCTTGAAATATTATAGAGAATTGGGCATTGTGTCATAACTTTATGGGGACAAAGATGCCAAGATTGTGACCTCAGTTTCCCCAAAATGAAAAAGGTAGTGTGACTCAGATATGGATACATTCAATATGTAGACCTTATCCATTTTCCTAGTTGGGTGGGAAAGCTAAGAATTTCAAAACCATAGGGAAATAATGATAGTGACAAATCCAACGATAAAAGCAACAAACAAAAGACAATAGAAAAAACACATTAACTTGTGATGATCACCCTCCAATGCTTCATTTATAACCATATATTGGTGGTATCATCAAATGATTGTCATTCATTAACTTATCAAGACCTTACTTGTGTGTGTGTGTGTGTATTTATATTTTCCCTCTGATTAGGCCTGCTGGAAATCATATGGGACCAATTCTTTAGCTAAGAATAAGATACCCTTCGTGTTGCTCTCTCTTGTTCTTGTTCATATGATTTGAGCATCACAATGGGTGGAGCAACACACATTAGTCAAGATAACTCCATGAAGGAAAATGATGGTTCTGATCCCCGGCACAGTCAATGGGTGATCATGGAAGATGGCGACGACACTTGCTACTCTGTATCCACCAAATCCTCCTTCGAAGATTCAACTAGTTCTGTTGCATCATCTTCTTCTTCATTAGACATTGCAGATGATGCAACCTCTTCAATACTGTCACCATCGCCTTCATTCGGTCCGTTGGATGAATTGTCTGAGCTCATGGTCCAACTCCCTATCAAGTAAGAAATCTATAGTAATATACATACATACATACATAATATATATATATATATATATATATTGAAGTGTGAATGAATATTGGTGACTCAAAAGCATATGTTTTGCAGGAGAGGCCTTTCCAAGTATTATCAAGGTAAGGCCCAGTCCTTTGCATCTCTAGCAAGTGTGAAGAGCCTAGAAGATCTTATCAAGAAAGGGAGTCCTCAGAGGAAGAAAATGAAGTCATGTAAGAGCTTTGGAGGGGGTTTAGATGGCCATAAATCATACAGTCCTAAGCCTACAATATCAAAGAAGGCTTCAAATGTATCTTTCTTTTCTTCACTAGGTAAGTAAGTGGCGGTAGTCAGTCTTCTAGTATATGTACCAAGAACCGATGGGTAAAAACCTATTAGGGCTTGCGAACTTGGTCGGTTTCTATCGCAAGCCATATGTATAAAAGTATTTGTGATGATAAAAGGATTCACAATATCACTAATCTTTTAATGCGGCACACATATTCCGCGCGAGGAGATGGTCACTCCCGTACAAATAACCAGATTTTACGTTCAGACACACTTATTCGGCTGCACTTGTTCGAGGATACGGCTACTACCGGACAAATAACAAAATAACACCTTAAAATGCCCAGAAATTTTTTTGGTGGTGGGTTATCCTACTACATTGCCGAAAAAACTGTGTAGAATATACACTGATGTGCCAAAAACTATTAAGAACTTGCCTGGTTTTTATTGCAAAATTGTTTATTTTGATAATGTAAAACTTTGTTATTCCAAACCCAGTATAGATCCAGAGCTTCCTGTTTGCATCACCTGGAGCATTAACATAACAGTCCTTTGCCATTGTCTAATAACTAGATCCGACATTTACTAATATTCTTCGAAGCACACACCCTCTATGATTCAAAAATATAGACAAAGCCAAGAACGTTGAGATTTGGAAGAGAATACATTCAAGGAGTTTCTTAAATTACATATCCACAAAAGAAAGGACTAAATATCGATTCCATCTTTTTCAGAGGTACTGACATGAAAACATATATATAACAACTATATATAGTATAACCATGTAGATGATGATGCTTCTTAATGTGGACTAAAGACCTCTTACAAATGTAAGATCAGGAAGCAAAACCAAAATCAACATTTACTTAAAATGGCCAGTTTCACTCTAAGTAAGAGCCCACAAAAGAGTGTAATGTGTTTTTTGCTAGGGCATATATAGCTTTACACCTTAAAATGCCAAGAAATTTGTACTATCACAGCACAGTTCCAGAACTACATATTAAAAACCATTCAATTAACTGTCGAGAATTATATCCTGTAGACAGGTTCAATTCCGAGTAGATTGAAACATTTTCTCATGACAACAGCCGTTGCTTCGCACAGCAAGAGTCTGCTTGTTTCCTCTGCTGATCCCACAACCTGCCAAATTTCTCCAAATAAGGATTCATTCAGAAGGCAACAATACCATATTCATAAATCGAATTTTATCTTCAATTAGAAAAAGTAACTATAGTCCGTATGCAACAAAACCAAATCGAATATAATCATTACATCTGGACTCATAAACCCAAGTAAATTCCAGACTTCTCCAAAGTTCCTAAAATAAACTTAAAACAAATCCCATATTTTCTTTTCTTTTCTTACCTCTTTTTGTTAACCCAATGGATGATCCATTGCATCCAAAATAATTAGTAGATCTTCATCACATCAAATGTTCTCTGCTACTACTTTTCCCAATAAGACAGAACGAATGAAAGAGCCAACTAGCCTACTGGTAATTCTCTACATGGTCATACCAGAAACCCATTATCAATAAGGGCATGTGTAAAGCCACCAAAGTTGAGTCCACCTCCAAATTCTACCCTCTCCTCCCTCTCTCTCCCAAGGTGGGAAAAGGATGGAATTTGTTCCGAGCATACGGATTCCCATCCCACCTCTAATGGGATGAGTATGGTAAGGTATTATATGGGATAAGGGCAGATTTGGGTTAAAGTATTTCAACCTGGTAAAAGTTCAGGGTGGGGTCATGTATGTGAGTATCCCGCCCCATCCCTGCACCAATTATACAGCAATTTACATATGTACCTTGTTTAAACCTTATATTTACTAGATACCCCGATACATGTTCAGGGTGGGTCGGGAATGTGAGCCTCTCTCTCTCTCTCTCTCTCTCTCTCTCTCTCTCTCTCTCTCTCTCGGGGCTTCTATCTACCAACAGGCCCCACTCCCACAGTCACGCCTCCTCCTCCTCCTCCCCCTCTCTTCCTCTCCGGAGCCGACGATGACCTCCTCTGCCTATAGATCTACTTGTGGTAGTGTGTAGGGTCGCATTTGTTTGAATCAAAGCACATGAGATGGTCGCATCTGCAAGGGGAAAACACATATAAAAACCTCTATGTCTCTCGCATCTACCCAGCCGACTCATCCACAGGTCTGTTGGCTTTTGCAGCGATATCATCTTCTATATTGTTGGTCCTTTATGTTGCATCTATGTACATTTGCTTAAAAAAGATCAATGTTTGTATAACTAGGGTTTGTACACACACATACATATTTGTATTTGCATATATTCTGGCTTTAACGGGATGGGAACGGGGCCGTGAATTCTATTGTATTACTAAATGGGGTGGGTAGGATTTAGGAAAACCTGTCCCATCCCCGCTCCGTTGCCAACCCTAGTGAGATAGTAAGCCTCCCCACAACACCCCCACAAAAAAAAAAAAAAGGTGTTGTAGTAAGTACTCAGTTTCCATAAATGAGTAAGGGGAAAAAGAGAGTAAATGGATGATGAGTTCGTACCTGACAGTTGGAATAAAATCTTGTATAGTACTCGGATAAATTGTATAGATATTCACACAACACATTTGGCAAGAGATTGGTGCACGCTTCTTCAACAACCTAAAAAGTGCAAGGGCATACATATTAAAAGTCATTACAACGATGAGCATCACATGCAAACTAAGTTGCTGACACAAGCAACAGTCCTTCAAATTCATGTTTTACCTCAGCAAACTGGATCAAATGAAGCCCTAAAACACGCTCATCATGGTGGGCCAAGTCTATTGTTCCCGTCTGTCAAAATAGAATTAAAAAATAAAAATTAACATTTTTTCATCAAATGAAATATGCTGTCCAGGTGCAACTGCAACTGGTCTATGATTCAACTCGGCTACTCCATCGGTATGGAACTGCACCTCGAGAGAGTTCTAAGCTTAGTCATAACATCATAGGATCATTAAAAGGAGGGGTCAAATCCTAGCCTATTGCCAAGCTTTAGGTCGGAGTAACTAATATAACAAGTAAAAGCGCCACACAACATGGTTGCTAATCTTGCATGTTAAGCAAAGTGAAAGGACAAAATAACTCAGCACAAAAAGTAGCAGTCAAAAAGGGCAAAAACGATTCAAAATGTGGCTTCGCTGCCTGCCTCACCTAAATCCCAAAAGAATAAAAACAAAATAAAATTAAAAAATCAAAAGAGTCTGAAAGTTTATGCAGATTTATCAAGATCAATCAAGAGTAAAAACAGCTCCATACTGAATTGAAATATCATTCATCTTCTATCTAAATGGAAGGCTTATCATATATAAAGGATAGTTATTTTCATTTACCATCTTGCTGCAAAAATCCTAAGATGCAAATGAGAAGGGCTGTTTCATGACAGTGATGAACCACAAGCGGCAGAAAAAGTGTACGCCACTGTTCATGCCCAACTCAGTGTATGCAACTGTTCATGCCCAACTCACTCACACGTTATATTGAAAGCACCAAAATGCTAACAAAAATACCAATGTTGCTCACACATATCTAGTAAAAAAGCCAGCAACTTTATGCCAAATGAATTTAACAGAATATGATTGGAATGTGCTAGAAAACAGATGTGAAACATATTTGAGCAGATTTCAGTTATAATTGCTTCAAGTAGGAAAAGATCGTACCTTTTTTAACTCTTCTATGTCTTTACCAGATTTCCTGATAATTGAACAGATTCGAGCATGTGCATACAGCAAATATACAGCAGTATTCCCCTGTTCATCACAAAGTTTGGTGAGTAAGAAATGAATGCTAATGTTGATAGCAATAGTATTACTGCTATAATTACTATTCAATAAGCAGCAACTGCACAAGCATAATCAACACTATAAATTATAGTGTGAACGGAAGAATAACTAATGACTAATGAATGACTGGTCAAAAAAGCCTTACAGCAACTATTTACTTTATTTAACAACAAATTCTGAAGATAAATATAGTCGCAAATATTTTTTGAAGTACGTGTTAGACAAATAAAAAACCTTATTTCAGAAACAGGTATAGTAAACACAACAGCATTTTCAATCGAGCTTCACATTAAAGTGCACACTGGAGAAAAATTAATTATTAAACGCACCTTATCATTAAGCATTTGATCAAAATTAAAAGTATAATTGGTCAATCTGTTGTTCTTCAGGTCGGCGTACCTGTTTAACACAAGCAAAGCAAAATGTTAAATACTAGCCAAGACAAACTAAAAGAAAACAGAGTAAAACCACCCACATCAAAATCTACCAACTCCCAGCGTAATTCAATCCCTAGACTGCCAGCCAAATGTTGGATCAAAATTGGGAGACCCAATTCTAGATTCCACCACCAAAGAAAACAGAACTCCTCAATCCAACACAAACTACTAGATTCTGCTTTTATTGAACACAATGTTTTATTAAGCAATGCATATCAAGGTGGGTGGGAAAAGTCATCAGATGCATATATTCAATTGTCTTTTAATGCAAACATAAAAGATAAAAAGTTTTCTGTTTACAATGACAAAAATTGTGAATACAACTGAAATAGGTGCTGGTTACAGTTTATTAGTACAAGGGCTCTTCTAAAATGATTGATTATTGGCACCTAACCTAAGCATCATCCTGGTGCCTCTATGATTCCCACTTAAGCTACATCCTGATCCTTTTGAGAATCCCAAAAAAATTAGGAAAAGACTTGATAATTTCCAAAACGGAAGTGTCCTTAATATCCAAAACAACTGCAAAATAAGCACCTACTAATAAATAAATAAGAAAAAATTGCAAACTAGGTAAGAACACCTGACAGTAACGGACCAAAGTTTACACTAGCAGCACGGAAGACATTTTGAAACAAATTTCTACTGGGACTTCCGATTCATCCAAAGATGCAATATGGCAAACTTTCCTACTTGCTTCATGTACTTGTCACAAAATAAAACCAATAAAAGTAGTAGCAATAAAAGTAGCATCAAGATAAGAACAACAGACACCACAATCAAGTAAAAGCATGTAGGACTGTAGGAGTATAAGGAACTTACTTCACAGCCCCATATCCAACTGCTTCAGCAGTTTTCTCAAGCTCCTCCTCAGACCACTCATCAGCCTTACCTGATAAGAATCAAATATATTATAAAATTTTCAAAACTTTGAAGTTATTCAAGTACACTATAAGGGTTGTAGGACCGGAATCCTAGGCTCTTCAGTGCAAAGCCTGTGATCTAGGCCTAGATTGTGGTCAATAGCTCCAACCGAGCTAGTTAACAGATTTTTAACCAATTTTTAAAATTTTAAGTAAATTAACTACAATTAAAATTTTAAGTAAATTAACTAAAATAAAAATATAAAGTAGATACTAACTAACTCAATCAATCATTCATGTAAATGATAAATATGTAAAGTAAAAGTACCAAAAGCAATTGCACAATGGAAATAGATATTTTTAAGTGGAAAACCATGGTGTTTAGTTCAACAAATCAAATCCACTATACACTTATCAAAAAAGAAAAACAAATCAAATCCACTGTATGAGAAAGAGATACTACAACAAGGTTGACTAGTTTCCCAAACCTAGAAACCTCTAGTTACCTCTTGACAAAGACTGATTACCATACTCTTCACTCGAGTCTCCAAGCCTTCAGTCAACCTTGCAAAAAGATCTGTTTCTCACTTTATCTGCTTCTCCCAAATCACTTTGATTTTAGACTAGTGGTCCAATCAGTATGATTTGTGTGATTGCTCCATGTTGGTGTTGAATTTGATTCAAGTTCAACAACAATAGATGATTGACACCATATAAGCATACTCACTAGTCTAGATGAATTGCTAGAATGCACTCAATATGCTATAAGAGGCCTTTATATAGATTACATCTGAAAAGAAAACTTTGATTTCACATTGCTCGATCAATCAAGCCAAATGTCAATCAAACAACACAAGGCCAGTGACTTCTGCCCTGTCCTTAGACTTGAATTTTGATTTTAAGTTTTCAAAAACATATATTTGCAAATCAAAAAAGATTTAACTGAATCAAACATGGAATATATGAAACCCTAATTAATGAATGCATTAACCCTAAGTGGTAAGTGCATATATAAGTGTTAAATTAACCTTTTTACTCTTGAATATGAAGTTTTACCGTTCCGCCCTTGTATTCAACTGTAATTCCAATTCTGTCCTTGGACAAGAGGTAACCAACTAGCTCTAATGGACACTTTAAAATCTATCCACCAAAAAAATAAAAAGAGGACAGAATGCACGAACCCTGAGTGGTATGTGCATATATGTGTTAAATTACCCTTTTTATGCTTGAGTATGACGTGTACCTTTCTGCCCTTGCATGCAACTGTAATTCCAATTATGTCCTTGGACAAGAGGTAACCAACTAGCTCTAATTAATACTTCAATTATATCCTAAAAAATAAATATATACTCACTCCCAAGTTTATGTATGACACAGAATTTGCCAGCTGATGTCCTATTGACCTAACACTATTTGCTTATAAAAAGATCTTGAATAGATAGACACCACAAAATAGATCTTACAAAATTAAAACAAATGATATATCACATACGAATTTATAGACACAAGGATCTTTCAAGGAGCTGCATCTTTGGCTAAAAAAAAAAAAGACTAGTGGTATAAATCACTCATTGTTATACCTCGTTCAACAAGAGCTGCTTTACAGCGACTCTTGGCTTCATCAAGTAAATCAACTAATTTAACAACTTCAGTGCTTCGGGTTCGAAATCGCTTTCCATCTTCTCCAAGAACAAGACCAAAGCCCACATGGCTAGTTTTAGGGTATACATTATCACCAGCTGGAAGCCAACCTGCAAGTTTGGCAGCCTGAAAGAAGAAGAGGATAAACCAAGTCTGACCATCAAAATCCAACAGCAATAACATTACCATATTTTTATATTACAAAAGAGGAAAAAAGATTCAAAGATACAACATGGCTTTATATACTTACAGCAAAAAACATTTCAAAGTGCTCTCGCTGGCCAACATCAGTAACATAGATTATCCACTCGGCTTTTTCTTCATTAAGTCGATACCTACAAATTGCAAGCAGTAAGACAAATAAAAATGCACTCATTTCCCACTTACACTAGCAGAAGACACTTTTTTGTGATGCAAGTCCTTCCCTTTATTGTAGGTTTTAATACCACACATTGTCATGTCAGATTACAAAAGATATCACGTCCAACAGTTTAACAGATTCTTTTAGATCTAATGAACAAAATGATCAACACTTTATTAATAATTTTATCCATTTAATGCAACCCTTTAAATAAAGGAAAAAAGCATTTGAGAACGCATTATTTAAATTATTGAGATAAGATAGCACATTAAGCTGGGATACAAGCATTTAATGAGGAACGTATCAACGGCACATACAAGGATCAAATATTTTTAAGCTATTAAGGGTTCATCAACTTCAAGCTTTAAAAAACACTAACCGTAAAGCTGCAAGATCAGTCGAAGCATAGTTGAAGCCACCATCTTTCTTCACAACAATAAGAGGTATATTTTTCCCTTCGATAAAGATCACACGAGCACCTTCACTTTCTTTGATTAAACCCACATTATTTAGTTCCTCTAAAGCTCCAGGAATAAATGGATTATAAAAGCTCTCTCCCTGAAAAGAGGCAAAACAAAATAATTACATGTCGCTTTGCTTGTCAGTTTTAAAAACAACTAACAATATGGGTGAAATACAAAAGTTCAGTTTAGAATGCAAATTTAATTAGGTTAAATGTACCATCATAAGTAGATAACATAGAAAATGCAAATCCATTGCAGGACATGATATAAAGACCATGCACACAATCATTAGATACCAGTAGGTCCACTACCTAAGAAGTTGCAACAGTGCACCTTTTCGTTCAGCACCTGGAACCTCTTAAATGCCAGAAACACAATCTATTAGCCAAACAAGCAACTACAACTTATGGATGATGCTCATTACTAACCAGTGTCTACAAAGAAGCCCATTTTTTAATAAAGGTTGCAGTATGAACATGTTCAGAATACTACTTATGCCATACCAGAACAATTAAATCCTTTTTTAAATACGACCAAAAAGTTGGTTCTTGTTAATTATTTATGTTATTTGTTTATTGTAATATCTTAGAATTGCAAATAGGGTTGCACATTTATAACTATTTGGAAACAAAATCACAGTGATAACAAGTGAATTAAAGGGGAAAAAAATTATTTAAGTGGCCTCTGCTCTAATCTAAACCTAAATTTAATGGGTTTGTGAATGTTAAGTATATAAAATAAACCTGTCAATTCAGTAAGTTTTCTGATTCTTCAATAACCTCCAATGAACATAGACATTAAAGTTAAACTTGCCAATATAAAAATATTCACAGATGGATTAATTAACTTTTTAACAGAGCATGGAAATATAATTTCAGTATGATATATTCTAATATAAATTTACAATGTCTAGAGAAATCCGCAGTAATAATACCACAATCCCCAACATCAAATGCTGCTTCAAGTCCATACGAAGATGCTACCATTGATCTCATCTTTCAAAATAAAAAATAGCACACAATATATTAATTTCATTAAATTAATAACCACCTCACTTAAGTATTTTAAGACCAAATAAGTAGTCACATCTACTAGTTTACATTTAGCAATACAGTGAGCAAAAACCACATCTATTATTCTGATTGCCCATGCAGTATTTTGTCACCCAAGCACCTAGGCTGCAGGCAGCTCTGACAACCATTGATCTCTGCCAACTGACCAGCCCCCGCCTCAAACGACACAACAGACAAAATGTAGGTGAGTCTTGTTACGTCAACTTTCCTAAGATAATTTAAATTTAAATCAACATATTAACATATTATACATAAACGAAATTGACGAAATAAAAATGCTTTGTCTGCTTAGAAGTACAATTTAAGTGTCAATCAAGCAAAAACTTGTTATAGTTATACACTAACACCTAATCTGCTCCACGGGAAATATTAAAATGGTGTGTGTGTGTGTGTGTGTGTGTGTGTGTGTGTGTGTGTGTTTATAGTAAATACCTATGAGAAAACAATCTCCTGACTTCATCCAAACTCTTGTTCCTATAAAAATCATCAAGCAATAGACGAAATCTATTTGTTGTGATATGATGTATATATTTAAGAGGGTTCAAAAAATGTAGAACTTGCCACAAAATTACACATAAAACAAAATGCAAAAACAGCTATGAATTAGATGTTTTGATGACTTTATATCCAGAAGATAGAAAGAATATGGTACCTTTTCCTCTAATTTTACTCCAAGTCGTTGATAAACTTTTTCATATCCCTTGCGACTGATTTCACAAATTTGAGCCCATGCCTTGCGATATTTCGCCTCCCCACCCTGTGATATAATTTATAGTTATGCCATTGCAAAAAGAAGTGAATAATAAATCAACAGATAAGAGAAATCATTATTAAAAAAAAATAAAAATAAAAATCTTTCAGTAAGAATAATTAGAATTAATATCCAATAGGATCATTCAATAAATGGAATAATGTCCTCATCATTGGAAGTCAACCTCACAAGTGTTTAAGCGAAAAAACTAAGTTATTCACCTGTAGACTGACAACTGCCCGTTGTGCCCGCTCCTTGAAACCAGGATCACTATCGAATTTCTGCTTGGAGGCCTTGTAGAACGCCTAAAAGAGCACCATTCAAGTTAAACAACATTACCTTCATGCACTAAATTTCATACTTTCTTTTAACAAAAACGCAGCGTCTTGAATAGTTGTTGCACTCCTAGGCATAAAAGAAATGGTGGTAATGGATTAAACACTCTGTCATAAAACATTCTTATATTAAGGAAGTAATTCTTGATGATCCATAATATCACCATCCAAGTTCCAATTATAGGAACTGATAAAGAACAAAAACCATATGGACTAGTGACGAGGTAATTGCCTAACAAAAATATTGATGTTGACCTCTCCAAGAGTCTGTTTGTTAATGTCAGGCATTTGTAATAAGCTTAAATACCTATCACGAACCCGTTTATTGAACATAAATTTCAATTATGATATCTCCCAATTTTACAAAATACCATGCTTAACAAGAGAAAAAAGAGTTTGACAAAATTATAAAGGGATGGAATATCAGTAAATCTATAGCATGACTTTGATCAAACCAAACATCATGTATAACTAGTCATATGCAATACTTTGGTTATAATCTTATTTAGCTTGTGCTATACGCAAATATTCAATTTTAATTTTTTTTTTTTTTATAAAAAAAAAATGTGAGTAAATACTTAATTGAGCTATGAAGCCTGTGTAGATTACAAAGTTTTTTCTCTCACCTCTAGATCTCCAATGGCTTGATCTGTTGCAGCTTCCCAGTTTGGAAACATTTCGAAAAGGTATTCAATTAGCATACCAAACTGCAAAACATGTGAAACTTATTCAGTCTACATGACATAATAGAAAAGTAGTAGTAATATCTTTGCAGACTAAACCATAATGTGAGGTAGAAGAGATGATAAAAAGTTATCAGCCTATATATCGATAAAAACCAATAGCAATTTCAAAGAGGCACACAGAATATAGATTATGAGATGATTTTCATAATAATCCCATATTTGATAAACAGTAGCAATAATGCAGAAGAAAAGACTGACAGGCAATGACTAAAACCCTGATTAGTAAGAAAATGATTAAAATCCTCCACAAATATGGACATTTTGCACAAAATTGTATATACCTGTGTACCCCAATCACCGACATGGTTTCTCCGAAGAACATCAACATTTGAAAACTCGAGCATACGGGCTAAAGTATCCCCTATAATAGTGGATCTTAGATGACCAACATGCATTTCTTTCGCAATGTTGGGTGAGGAAAAGTCAACAATTGCCCTTTTAATTGGAAGCTTTGGTGCCCATGTCTCAATACCATCTATTAGCATCTTTAGGATTCTCTGCAGTAACAATATCACTGAGTAAACATGATATTTGTCGTAAACCAAATAACATAAATAAATTTTGAGTTTTGACGTTAAGTATAAGTTAATGATGTGCAAACACCTTTGCAATCCATAGATTAGATAATACAACATTCACAAAGCCAGGTCCAGCTATGGTGCACGATTCTATCATTTCTGATGCAGGAAGATTTGTTATGATGGCCTGCAGAAGAAAAGACCACCAATATTTGTATGATGGCATTAACTCAAAGTCTAATCCAGATATCATAACATCTCTGATGAATCAATTAGTAGATAAAATAATTACACAAGAATGTTAATACCCGTCCGATAGGTTGTGGACCAGTGAACTCGGTGCCCTTCCCTTTTATTCTTGTCCATAAACTCATGGCGTTGTTGCTGCACCAAAATAATGTGTTCCTTAACAAAATACATACAACTACTTGTAGTGCTATAAATTCATGAGAGACCTAACACGCTACAAACCTGAGACATCATATCACATATGGTTTTCAGCTTGATAAAAAAGCAGAGAAGATATTGGGGCAAAAGCATGCAAAGAAGCCGTACCACTGATAGTCGCCAAATCTTGGATTGCAGGCAGCAATCAAGGGTTCTACATCTGCCTCACTAGGAACCGTTGTTCTAAGTGAGGCTTCAAATAGTTTTGCCAATTGTTGCCTAAGAGTCCCTGTGCTTTCTTCAGCCTGTCCCCACAAAACATTAGATTGCACAACAACTTGATCAGGCAATGAAACAGCAATCTACAGCAAACATGATAAAAATATTCTACCGTTTCTTACCTACATGCTAAAACCTAAAAATTGCATAATCTCTTTAATTGTCATGGTAAACGTACATTGTACATTTAAATTACACGTATATATTGCATATTCAAACACAGAAATGTAAATAAATTTATATATGCGCATCAACTTACAGCTGCCATTGACGATATTGACTGTGCCTTTGTCGTCGAAGAAAATCTTCTAGAGGTAGCTCTCAGAATATCTGTCTAGTTTCACAATAACACCACAAAATTAACAATAGTTCTAAAAATCTATTTTACACCCAAAAAAATTATTGATTATGCTAAATCTCGTGACAGAACATATACACACACGTATATATGTACAGAGAGACGCGTAAAAAGACAGCAAAGTGTAGAAGGAGAATGATAAATGTATATACACAGAAACATGTATAGATTATATACAGATATATATATATATATATAGGCTTACAGGTTGCAGAGAGAGGAGGAGAATGCTGAAAGAGAGAGAGCCGATTGAACTTTAGAGAAAGAGTTGGAGGAGAGACCGGCGGAAGTAAGAGAGCGAATGTGCCGGTCATTACTTTATATTTGTTCCCTTTATTCGCTGATTTTATACGCGCACAGTTTCTTCCCACTCGCCGCCCCCCTCACGTTTCTCTTCTCGGCTACTGCTACTTGTTGTTAGGGTTTTTGGAGGGATTTGATAGTTTGTGCCATACTCCTTTGACCGTATGTTACAGTTGGTTGTTATCCGATAAAATATGGACATGTCACCAGATAAAAGGGCCCCGAATGATTGATGAAAACGGGTCAATCTTTCCCGACCCTTACCTACACCATTTATTTTCAATCTATCCCGAAAGTCAACACGGTCTGTCCCTGGTCCGATCCGAACCTTTTGCTCACGTTCTGTTACCAAAACTTCAGTCATAGCATGAAAACTTTGAACAATTTAAAAAAAACGATGGAGATCAATGTATAATGTATATAAATATACATATATAGATAGATTACAGATGTAATAGAGAAAAAATCTGAACTATTGCAAATAGAGAGAGAGCAAGGATGGGTGGGCTGCAAAAAGAGAGGGATTAAGGGCCCGTTTGAGAAGTGTAGTGTGATATAATGTACTGTTTTAGCCTAGAACAGAAATCTGAACTATTGCAAATAGAGAGAGAGAGCATGGATGGGTGGGCTGCAAAAAGAAAGGGAGTAAGGGCCCGTTTGGGAAGTGTAGTGTGATACAGTGTACTGCTTTAGCTTAGAAGTTTTGTAATGTGATGTTCTGAAATGAGAACAAAACATGTTTGGTGTTCCAAATTTATTCTGAGAATTTTGAAACAAAAACATGGTAAAACATGTTTGGTAATGTATATTGTTTTAAGAAATATGAGAACAAAATATATTTGTAAGACTGAAAGTGTAACCAAAATCAGTAGAAAAATAAAATAATTAAATATGTTAAATTAAGAATGTTTTTAAATAATGTTTTCTTTGAATACATTTTTTCTAACTTTATTAAGTATATCTTCTAAATTTTCAATACACTAATTTTATGCAAACCGATAATAGTGTAGTTTTCGATTCCGAGACACTAATTTCTAATTGTCATAATAAGTCCAAAGGACCAATTTCATGTACCAAAAAATTTGACCTCAATAGATTTTTTTTTTTTTTTTTCGGCACCACCTCAATAGAATTGAAATATTTGAAGATTGTACCACTTCAACCTCAATTGGGAGAATGGTGAATATAGAATCGTCTAATCTAGTGATTGATAGGGTCCCACAACTGTTGAATCACACAAGTAGTGTGGTTATCCAAAATGGACACCAGGACCGACTCCATTACCAGTTTGGGAAATGTATATGCTGTAGCTGATCAGAAACGTGCATTTTTACACCGCATAATGGTGAGTCTGTATCCCCTTTATTTTTGTTCTTTTTCGTTGGGGCCTTCTGGTGCCTCGTTAACATGTTCTATATCCATTTGTAGTAGTATATAAAGAGAATAAAAAAACTACAGATTAAATCATATATATACATATGTAGAGCAGAGAGCAGCGGCGAAGCTTGGGCTCGCCGGAAAAAGCACAGCAGAGGTGAGACAGAGCGTTCCTCTCTTCAGATCTGCATACACAATGGCCGATTTGAAGCCCGATCTTCAAACAACAAAACCAATTTTATACAGAGCACAGCGATTTATGATGAAGAAGAAGAAGAAGCAGAGGAACTCACCGGTGTGAAGAAGACGACTCTCGGAAAGCTTCAACCCCGCGTTTGTGTCAAGTACAGCCCCTCATGTGTATCGCCTCTGTTGAGCCTTGCAAAAAACCATAGTTTTGTTCCACCGATTCTCTTTATACTTGTTCTTAGAATGGAACAAATTTGCTCTGTTGTTCCACCCGCTACAGTTATTAGTGGGCCGGCCTCATTTTGGGAACAACTTGGAACAAGGAAATTTTGTTCCAAGTTTTGGGCCATTATTCCAAAATGCTCCACCATTGTTGAAAACACTACAGGCCATGCCAAACAAGTTTTGGGCCAGAATAGTGAAACTTACACCCGTTGGGAACAAGGTAGAATAGGGTAGAACAAACACTAAGAGATTACATATACATAGCGGACGAGTAATGATCTTATTTCTCGTGAAATAATTTCGTACTTTCTATATCTATATATTTTTCTTTTAATATAAAATTTACCATCATTAATCGAAATTTTTGTTTTCTTTGACATCATTATTGTTACTTTACATATTAGCCGCCTTTCAAACCTTTTTAGCTTACCAAAAAAAATGATGATAGTGAAAAATAATAATAATATAATAATAATAATAATAACAATATTAAATAAAACACTAAGAAAAATAACTAATTTATAAAGAAAATCTAAAATTTAATAAAATAATAACATTTTTTGTCGTGAATCTCTTCATTACGTTAATAAAATTTTATTATTATACTAGAACTAGAAAAAAGATATTGTGGGACTTTTATTATGACATATGAGTAATTCAAATATGTTTACAACTAGTTAAAATTTGAAATAAAATAAAACAAAATTAACCAAAAAGATGAAACAATTTGTAACAAAGGGGTCAGAGAAATATAGATTGAATTTTTAATTTTTAAATAGCATACATTTAGGGAGGTATACAACAATTTAAATTGTAATTTATTAAATTTTTTATTGGTGAAGTGTTGTGCAAATCATAGGTTACCTTAAGTTAATAAAGTAGATAAAAAAAATAGAGACTTTATTTTTAATTTTTTATTATTTTTTAGTCAATGTTTTGTATGTCAATAATGTAATTTTTAATTTATTTCTAACACTCAAACAAATAGGCAATGTCAATTTTAGTATCAGGTCATTGATGCAATTCTCTAACACTTATAAATTTTTTTAAAGAAAATAAAATTCAAATTAGTGGTGAGACTTGATTTCGAGAGGTGAAGAGATTTTTATTTTTATTTTTTTAGTACTTACATTTTATTATTATTATTAATGTTATTGATAAATATTAAATTTGGAAACTAGAAATAGTTTTAGTGGTTTTGTATTAAAAAAAGAGAGCATATAGGTAGGTTTAGAATCGAACTATTAGATTTAATCTAACAGTCACTATAAAAAATGTAGAAGAATTTTCTTACTCCACAAGAAGCAAGAGATCACTACTTCATAATAGAGAAATGAAATGAGAAAATAAAATGACAGTTTATAAAATTATATGTTTATGATGCAAAAAATACCTCAAAAATTTTAAATTTGTGCAAATAGGTCCCTTCATAAATTTAAACATTAAGTTTACTAAATTAACCATTTTATAAAATATATAAAAATAAATAATTTTGTAAAATGACTAAAAATTGGAGATGTCCCTCTCGTGCAAAAAAATACCCCTAAAGTTTCAATATGGTACAAATAGGCCCCTTTGACAAATTTAAACCATAAGTTGGTTAAATTATCAACCATTTTATAAAATATATAAAAATAAATAATTTTATAAAATGACTGAAATGACACTATTGGAGAACGCCAACAATGGACAAGTAAATATAAAAATATAAATGAAAACTATAAAAGAACAATATGGGAAATTATTCAACACCTTTCTACCTCTGAGAGCAACCACAGCACAAGGCAATAATATACAATATCTAAACCTGTGTTGAATGAAAGCCTTTATGTTGCACATTACACATGTGAGCCCCATGTCATGTTACACACTCCGCAGATGAAGAATGAAGTAGCGCCTGGCGCATTTGGCCATTATGTGTGATAATGATATAAAATGAAAAAGTGATATCATGTGATCGATCATGTGTAAAATAATTATTATATGTGTATTGGATTAATTAATTAATGTAAAGATAGTCAAATTTTAATTAATTAAAAACGAGTCATTTTTCTTAAATAAATAAAAAGAGTCATTTAATTTGCATAAGATTTAATTAATTTTTTTTTTTTTAAAAAAAAAGTTTGTACTTTTTGACTTATCAATTTAATTTATTTATTTATTACATAATAATTTAATTAATTTGCATAATAATATAAAAAGTTTGTAATGTTTACTATTTTTTTTTTTTCATGTGTGGAAGTATTAATATATATATTTTTTTCCTGAGTTGTATTATTTTATTTTATTTGTAGGAAGTTATGTAATGTACTATACATATATATATTATTGTTTTTTAATAAATTTTTTTTAAAATCTTATATCTAAATATATAACTGGAGCAAACAATTATAGCCGTTAGTATTATACTTGTTGAGAATAAAATTGTTGAAAAAAAGACAATAAAAAATTTTATTTTATTTTTTTAAAATAATAATATAATAAAGTGTAAAATGAAAAAATGAGTAAAAAAAAAAATTAGAGTCTTCAAAATAAGTGCAAAATCAATTGCTGACATGGCTGTACTTTAGGTAAAGTATAAAATGGAAAGGGTGGCTTGGCTGGTTTTGCTGTAAATATATTTACAATGATTTTTTTTCTGGTTGTAGTATTGTATTCTTAATTTTTTTCAATGTGGTCCATATCACTCTGAAAAGTGAAGATCTGATGGAATCTGCGGATTATTTAATAGCGTGGTAAATTTGATGGAACATCTTGTCATAATGAAACTATTGCAAGTGATTTAGAGGGGTGATTTATGTAAAGCAGAATTAGATTATGATATTGTTCATCACACCTTTTTTTTTTCTTTTTCCTTTTCCTTTTCCTTTTCCTTTTTCTTTTTTTCTAATGAAATAAGGATGCTTTGGGATAAGTAATAGAACATCAGTTGTTGACCCTTTTAGTTATAGCGACCTAGCTTTGCAGCTTAGAGGGTTTCAACACTTGGGGAAAATCTGGGGATGAAATCACTTTTGGTTTTGAGAACTGTTGAATGATCCATTACTTAATAGAAAACACATAATTTTCCCATTCATCTAATTGTAAAAGGTCCCATAAGATGGCACACACCATCTTCATCTTCATATGAAAATGGCAAATTTTTTGTCCAAAAAATGACAAATGTATGTTAATCACTCTAAAAAAACCGTCGATTTTATTGCATAAGCTAATCAAATCTTGCGGTAAACCCAAATCTGTGCTTCTTACATACGGTACAAGGTACATGAAAATGAATGAGGAGAGGGTGCCTCATATGCTTATTATGGGTTTTCACTTTACATTTTGGTTGCTATGCCATAATTTTCAGTACATGTTGT